GGGGTGAAATTGAAATTACTGTTTCTACCTGTTGGTTGAAGACGCTTTTGCAATACTACAAGAAATAATTTATTAAATGTCAAAAGTGAGGAAACTGCTATGCTGTTTGATGGAGAGAGATTTTTGGTTTCTGTCCTCCTTGCACCATTTTCTCCTTGAGTGTCGACTGCTCAGTATGAGACTCCCGTCATAATCATACGTCACGTTTCAAAATGGCATATGGCCGAGTCGTACACTATGCAGTTGATGTATTTTACAAGTATGAGTTATGTTTGACACCTTGTTGTTTAATTTGCTGGATAAAGTAAACTTTCTCCCTTATTGGTTCTGCTAAATTTTCAAACCTTTTCCTGTGGCCTGTAGGGAGTGTGAAAAAGTCTTGTTGATCGATCTCAATGCGATTCTGTTTTAACAAAAGTGTCGAAGCCAAGTTTTTCACCACTCACAGTGAGAGTCATGTAAGGATGCGCTTGTTATCCAAGTGAATGCTTCTGAATTTGACAGTGTAAAGAAGTTTAGTTTTCCTTCAACAGCACTCTTTATTCTTAGGAGTATTACATTTTCAAGTTGACACGGAGGTCAAGAACATTGATGCAGGGCACAGGGTGAAAATGAATTGAGAAGGAGAACGCGTCCTGATAGTGGGCCAGTTTCTCGAGCTGTCCCCACTTGTGCCTCAACCCAACCTTCTTGTATCTTCTTGGCTTTCACTACCTGGCTTCGTTTACTCTCCTGTTGACTTGAAGATCCATCCTCGCCCACTTCCAGGTCCGATATGTCGTTCGATTCTCTTGTGAGCATTTCTGTAGCTTGAGTTATTTTACAAGTAAGGGTAGCTCACCCCTCACCCATCCCTCCTCCTTTTTCAGCCACATTTGGGACCATCCTTGGTGGGGTTTTACAGAACTTGACTTCATTAGAGATCGGTTTCATCAGGACTTGTTGTTTTGTTTTGTCTGTGCATTACGCCTAATACTGTTGGATATCCCTGCAACATTCTGTACAACCGTAGCAGTAGTAGTGAGGTTTGTGCATATCTAAGCTCATATACCATAGTGATATATTTATACATAATTTTTTCATAAGTTAACATTAACAGCAGTCAGTACAACAAAGTACACACTATATTGACTGCCCAGTGGAAGCCTCTGTTGTGTCATACGTCACTTTCACAATTAGCGTATGGCAGAGTCTTACACTAAGCAGTTGGTAATGTACAATGGAGTCCACTTCAATGGAATACGGTTAATTGAAAATGGAGGTGAGGCCTACCATAAATTGTTTTTTTGAAAGAGAAGAAAATCTCCGATTTTTTCCCCTCCAATTTCAGGAACCTCTTTAAATAGGAAACCCGGCTGCACTGAAGAAAATCTAGTGGTCCCAAAGATTTCAGTTTAAACGAACTCCACCCTATTTCTCACTCTCCTCATATTTAGGACAAGTGTAATAATGTGCGCAGCACTTACTCAACAGGTGTGTGAAAAATCAACTTATTAGATCTATATAAAACTATAAGTTGAAATGAAGTGCAGTACATGTTTTATTTTGATACTTTTCACCTTGTCTCCTGTGGTGGCCGGAATGGAATGTGATGCTGAAAATTTTGTTTGACAAACAGATGTAGCTTAGATGGTATCCATAAAAAAAAAATTTTGGAATGGAATGGTCCAACGTTTTCTATGACATCACCATGGTGGAAGTTCTATTGAGAGTCAATGAGAGCTCAGGCATTGCGCTGGGTTTCTTATGAATGATGTCACAGCATGATAGGCCTATATGAAGTGTCTTTAGTTTTTTAAGTGTCTTTTGTGTGGGCTCACCCTGTAAAAGAAACTGAGTCAGGTTGTTGACCAGTGTTTGAGTGGGTACTCGAGACCTATCTCCCTCATACCATCAGTGTAAGTAACACCTCACCCTGCTTGTACAGCGGACCTGCCAATCACTCCATGGCCAAAAATAGGATTTTTCCTCAAAACTGTCCCAAGAGATAGGAGGGGGTTTCGGGGGTAGAGTCTCCAGAATCCCAGTAAATTAAGATTCCGTAATGAACCAATAATGACAGATCAAGGTGCATTGAAAACACACATGTGACATATCAGCCCAAATAGAAATGTTTTTTCCAGTCAGTTATGATACGTCATGAAAATGGTGCAAATAAACACATGTGAGAATGTGTATTTTCAAATCATTAATGACAAGTCACCCATGACTTGACGAATATTAGAATTCAAGAAAAAAAAACCAGAAGGATTTTATACGCATCTGATTGGGGTTTAGTTTGGTTTAGGGTTTTTCAATGGGCTAAAAAAAAGGGGGGGGGGGGGAAATCGAGAAAAATTACAGATTTTATACGAATTCGATCAGTTATTTGACAGGCATAAAAATAATAAAAATCCGAGTGCTCGTGTTTTATTGGAGTACTTGGCAGGTCTGTTATAGATTGCGAATCATTCTCCGTAAGCCTTCCACTTCCTTATTCTGAAAACACTGACTTTGTTTCAGAATTGCAGCAGGTTTTTGAAAAAAATGTGTTGGATTTGACTTTGACTTTGAGTTTTCATTTGCACACTCTTGTTTTGAAAATAATGTAAATTTGTAGAGTTATGTATTAAATTTGTTCGAGGTTTTTTTCTCCAGTTTCTCATTTTTTTTAACCATGTGTGTATATTCAGTCGGTCACTATTTCATAAGAATTAAGAATCTTATATTGCTGGATATCATGCTTATGTGCTGAGATAAAGTTTGAGTATTAAACTGTCACTTGTTTTGATTAGAAGGTATTAGTATTATCTCAGCAGGGCTTCAGTGTGTAAAGATGAGTGCTTAGTAAGTTTAGTGTGATGAAAAGCGGAGCGTTTAGTTGAGTGTGATGAAGGGAATACTTTGTTTTGTTTTCCACCTCTAAGTAAGTACTAGAAGGTAGCTGCCCATGATTTTAGACTCTTTGTGACACCCATCCACTGTAAAATGGCATTTTTCATTTTGTTATCTTGTCTGTAGGCACTTTATCTCAATAAATCCATTAAATGATTTGTTTCATCGATACACACTTCAGGTAATCAATGTAATAACTTTATTTGCATGAAAACATTCCTTTCCATTTGCATGCAATGTTAAATCAAAAAGTAATGGTGAGACCAATGTGTTAGTTCCATTGGGGGCATTGCTTTGTATAGAGCTCTTGTTTGCATTCTTTTTCTGTTTGATAAAGAAAAAATATCCTTTGTTTTTATGGCAAATATTTTCAAATAGCTTTGTTGGTTGTTGATATTTCGTCGCCTTAAACTTAAACTTACAGACATGGTCCAATGACAAGGTCATCATACAATTGCCTGACTGCTGTTTTGATTTGTATAAATGGATGAGCAAGATTCCAGTAGAGTACGTGGTGGTGTTATGAGATTACCGGTACCACTGTTTCTTGTTGGCACAATTGTTTCGAGAAAACTTACGAAAGATGTCTGCAAATGTTATCGCCATCCATCCTCACCACATGTGCTTTGTTTCCTAGAAGTAAGTCACTTTTTTAACTTGCTATCTATTCAGGTTGTACTTTTGATGGAGCCTGACCTCAGCTTGAACATTTCAGCAGTTTAATAGTGGGCATTCAGTTGTGTTACCTTAAAGTTGGAAGTGTATAATCTATTGTCCTCAAGTCTCAAGACCTACTCTGTAGGAGATCACCTATCAACTAAACCTATGACTATGAGTAGGAGACACACACTCACACTCAGAGCAAAATTAATTTGACCGACGCAGCAGGCGTGTGTAGCTTGTTTTTCCATGCAGTGAATAGAAACTTTGTAACGTAATTTATTGATAAAGTTGTGCGAAAAATGGCACCTTTCCCCTCTGTCCTGCTGAGCAAAGGCCGGTTTTGAGTGTCTATTTTTTTTAAATGTAGCTAGCTATATAAACTGTTTTGAACTGTTCTTATACTGCGCAATCTGTTAGTGTTAAATGTTCCCCCATTGTAACATAATGCCAGCCTCTCCTACTTTCAATATCACAGGGCTGCCTAAATCTACAGATTTTCCGGGTAGTTACCGATTTTGGGCCTGTTCTACCGCCATACCGATGAAGGATTTACAATGGGCATCTAGAGTAAAAGAAGAAAAAAAAGCTCGCTATGCAGTGTTTCCAATCTTCCCAGTTTTTGCTAAAATCTGTACATTCTGAAAGCCCCGTATTTGCCGCATCATCAAGGACCTTACCGTTTACCCTCTTTGATCATATTTTATCCACTCCGTGCGTGAAAGAAAAAGAGAGAGACAGTAAATCTATTAGCTTATCGGCTTTCCGTAGCATAGGATCAGTACAACTTGCATCCGTAACTTCTCAGATATTTACGGTAATTCTCAGCCATGAGTTGTTAGAAACTGCCAGGTTGCGCATTTCGCTCAATCGACCATTTTCCTTCTGTGCGGTTCGTTCTGCAATAGATTTTCACTTTCAAATCGGCTGACATCTTGTAATCTTCCTCCTTCCTTTCATTCTTGCTTTCTGTCTATCTTCGGGTTTTTGTTGCAGTTGGAAAATTTGTGCGTTTATTAAGAAAATGAATTGTAAATGTTGAAAGAAAATCGATTTAAAAGCAAAACTTTTGCAAATCTGTCTAGATCTAGAGAATTGGTCAGTACCGACTAGAGGATTTATGGCCACGGGATAAGGCCAGGGTGTGAGAGTGTCACTGGGGACATTCGATGTGCTTGTATCTGACACAGTCAGCATCGACATGTTCGGGAGTTTTTTTGCTCCTTATTTTTGTTGGTTGAATATTCACAATTCTTTTGAACATGTTGAAAGATGGTACATTATATTATTACAGGTTTGAAAGAGAGGAAGAATGTGAAGAAAGATTTAGAGAGAGACTGAGAGCAAGCAGTGGGATGATTTTGTTGCTAGAAATAAGATGTGATAAGTAGATGCACGACTCAATGAATATATCGAAAGGATTCAAGTTCAAGTTCCTTTTTTAAATCCGTCCTTTATGATGCAAGATTATATATATAGTGTCACGACGCGGTGGAATCAGGCGCTTGTCAATTTTTGGATATGCTGAGTTATTGGTATCATTTTTAAGATTGTTCATTTGTTTTGCTTTTGTTGAAAAAATACTTCGGCATCAGGAATAGAAGTCGAGATATTTGGGATTGAAGGTGGGGGCCACCTGGTTTCAGAGGTAAAATTAGTGAGAAAATGGCTGCCAGAGTTTAACAAATTCCAAAGCTTGAGAGTCAGAAACTGCAAATTGCAGCAAATTTACGTTTTTGTGCCTTAAATCATTTTTCAGTAAAATCCACATAGAAATGTGATTTTAAATGGACATTAATAAAGGTGCTTAGTAAAAAAAAAATTTTTTTAATTCAATAAAAATGACCAAATGGACAGAAAAATACCATTTTCTTAGATTTCATTATTTTGACGAGCGCCTGATTTCACCACGTTGCCTGAAGTTGCCTCACATATATGTATGTGTAGCCTGTCTCATGTCTTTGCCGGATTACAAGAGCAAGAACATACAGAAAGCCTTCAATAACCAAAGACTTACTTAATCTCTGAAGAAATGTATATTTGAGTGTGAATATTGCTCAACGCTAATGTGTACATGATGGCTTGAAGAAACAAACTTTAATTTTAATCTGTGGATTCTTTTTAATTTTGACATTGTCAGCTATAATCTCCAAATATCTCATTTAAGTTGTACTCACCGTTATATCAAACTGAAATAAACATTTTTAAAGTTCTTTGCAGATCTTCAGATTTTTGTTTTTTTAAAGTGCTCCAAATATTTTGTCTCTTTTAAATTTGAATCACATGTTTTCTTCTTTCTTCACTTTTTATATTTATTTTTGTTTTGTTTTTAGTTTAGTGTTTTACAGCGCTCGCAACTGCATAAGGTCATATTAGCGCGCGGGACACATTTAACCTTTTCAGTTGATTGAAAATTGTGAATTTTGCCAGGGTGGCAGCCGAAGCCCACTCATCGATTTTGGACCACCAAGGGATCTTAAACGTGAGCAAATTTCACTCGCGACCTGTGAGATTTTTTGCCCTAGTCCGAGATGGCTAGGTGTAGATCTTTCCTACCATAAGATCAGGTGTGTGGCTGAAAGACAGCAGTAAGAAGGAGCCAGGGAGTAGCAGTAGAAAGACTGCAAAAAGAATTAAGAATCAGGAGCCAAGAGGTGGGGGGCAGAAAGTGGAGATGAAAACAGACGACAGAACATTGTTAGTTTAGAGAGCAGGAAAGGATGTGAAAGAAAATCTCAGAGAATAAATTTTCCGTCGCTATCCGGATTCGAATCCACGACCTATTGAATGAGAGATGAACAGCTTAGCACGGAACAAAATGCTCATTTTTAAAACGTCATCCTCCAAAAATTGTACTACTTTTTGCTATCATAAGATGAACCCTGGTTGGCGCGTGCTTTGTTGTGATTTGCTTCTTTCCAAGGCTTAACAGTCATGTTCTGTTACATTATAAACTTCAACAGTACTTCTTTCCATTAAACTTGTGGCTGTTTAGCAGGACCACGGGTGGTTGGCGGGTGTTCTGGTGTGGTTTGCTCCTTCTTTCCTATCAAACATCTATCATCCTTATCCTTTTCTTTTTTTTTTGTTACTCTCTGGTACGGCCTCTAATCTTCAGCACTTATGTAACCTAATTGTGTTGAAAGTGCCGTAAGACGATTCGATCTACTAAGAATAGACAGGACCATGTGGCTCATACTGGTGTCACTGGTGTTTACAGAGTCATGAGTGTGGTTGGTTGGCGGGTGCTCTGGTGTGGTTTGCTTCTTCTTTCCTATCAAACTTCTATCATCCTTATCTCCCCTTCTTCTTTTTTATGTTTGTTACTCTCTAGTAACACCTCTAATCTTCTGGCGCTCATATGACCTTATGCAGTTGCGAGCGCCATAAAATCTTTACTAAAACTAATCAGTTAAGTGACATGAGTAGTAGTAGTAGTAGGCAGAAACACTAGGAGAGTTGAAGGCATGAGTTCAATTTCTTCGGAGGAAAAAGGTATTTTATCGTGTATCATGTATGTGTGCCGTCACTTTAAAAAATACAGTACCGGTACATGCAGTTTTTTACAATTTTACAAAAGGAGACAAAAAACAATGTTGTTACCAAAATTTAAAGACAACATTTCCTTTAGGGTAATACAAAAATATTGACTTGGGTCGTTTGCAAAGAGGTTTTTTTCTTGGTAGCGACATTCAGGTTTTTTTTTACTCTTCTGTGAAATTGTAAAAACTGCATATAGCCTACTATAAAAAGTGATGGTAGATGTATCTCCATCGGCCTATAGAGATACTATGGTGTCAGTGGTCTAGTGGATAGGCTGTTAGGCTTGTAAGCAAAAGTTAATGGGTTTGAACAGTCAGAGGCCTGATGATGTGTCCTTGGAAGAGGCACTTGACATGAATTTTCCTCACTTCACACAGGTGGGATTGGGCATCCAGCTATGGACGTTGAAAGATCTTTTCAGTTTGTCAATGTTGAAGCGCTTAATCACAGCTGCTTGAACAAGATCTATATGCTTCCATTAATAAGGTCGCTGAGGTAATAAAACATATGTATTGATTATAAAGTGCATGGAGGGATATGCACCATAAAAATATCATCCTCACACCAGGTTGGCCCGGGTTGGCAGGGTCCCGACAGCCTGCCTCTTAGGCGATCTGACTTGTCTTTAGAGGAGTGTAAAACTAAAACACAAACAGTCATGTGGCTCCCATGTGATTTAAGTCGTGTTGAGAGGGGTGCAAAACATGTACAGTCATGAGCCTCCTACATAATCTAACTTGTCTTGAGAAGGGTGTAAAATGGGTACAGTCATGTGACTCCCAAAATGACTTTGTCTTACAGAAAAGAAAGAGGGAAGTGTGAAGAAGCCAGTATCTAAAAGAACACCTTTCTAATGCTGCTCTCTTCATTAAAAGCAAATCTTCATTGTCGCAAGGAGTCCGCTTAGGTTTCTATTTTTACACACCCCCCCCCCCAAAGTTCTATCAAAGATGCACCTTTCTACATCATCAATATGCAGTTCAATGACATTGCTTCCAAATTTCTTGCTTTTCATAATTCCTGATAGGAAAAACACAACAAAATCTTTTTTTTTGGTCTGTGGTGTAAAAAGTACCCAGAATAGACTTAAGTGGACTGCTTGCAACAATGACAAAATTATACTTCAACTGACCAACATAATACAGTAAAACCTGCCCTAACGACCACCTGTCTAAAACAACCACCTATACAAATATCCACTTCTCATTCCCAGGGCTGCCAACCCATCTCCATGGTTTTTAGTAATGACCATGAAGAAAATTAGTAATTTCCAATAAAAATTAGTAATAAAGCTTTCATTTTCAAATTACTGTATATTACAACGAACAAAAACATGTAATATTTAGACTGCTTGGGTCTCAGCAACATGGCAGCGATGCTTCTATGCTTCAACTCGCGTACCATATTATTGTGGGCAAGGCTAACTCGCGCGAAGTGGGCCAGCTGTTCCCTTTTTTAAGGGGTCGGGGGTTGATTTTGAGATTGGCAGTTTTCCGACTATTGGCGGACGATAAACAGGTCTGAACTAAGCCTTGTAAAATTTTAAAAAGAGCCAAAAATATTTTTTTATAGCCAAAAATCTGCTGGCGGTAAAAACTAATAAACCGCCTTACGATCGGAATTTTGTAGTGAAGCTAAAAAAATCGTAATGATTACGAAAAAAATCGGGATGGTCGGCAGCCCTGTATCCCCCCCCCCTCCCACATATTTCCCCTGTATTATAATGACATTATAAAGATGACCACTTGTCTCCTCCACAAAGGTCGGTCGTCTGGGATAGGTTAGACTATTTTGGGGGGGTTTTAGTAGAGGTTTTACGGCACTCGCAAAGTAACTGCATAAGGCCATGTGAGCACCAACAGGTGGATGTCAACAGGGAAGTCCTTACAGGGAATGAGACTTACTCTGCTCACCTCTCTAGCTTCAACAGCACAAAGCCTGCTTCGACTATCAAGGCATCCCGGAAATAGTGGGTCACAAGAGTGTGACAAACATACAAAAGAAGTAGAGGGAAAATGATGATAGTAAGGATTAGGAAAGAAAAAGCGGCAGTTTGACTGTATTTAAAATCCAATTTCAGATGTAAAAATAATCAAACACAAAAGTCAAGAGGTAATGTATCTTTCATCAACATGTATTTCTTTTCACATACTGAACTTGCAGTTCAATACCAGGATGAGAAAAAAAAAAAAAAAACCTAAAAAAAAAGAAGAAAAAAAAGTTCAAAAAGTATAAATACAATAAAGACATAACAACCCTTATTGCTCACACAAAGAATCCTTCACCTTCTCATCTTCTCCTAGAAGTGGATCTGAAAAAAAAGACAAAAGGAAAAAGATCAACAGCTTGAAACAAAAATGTTTTAAAAGGAAAAAAGACATCTTATCTTAAGCACATTGGGAGTAGAGAAAATGGAATCAGCTCTCAAAACAAACATAAAATAATAACAGAGAATTAACCAACAACAACAACAAAAAAGCAACTCATCTTAAGAAAGAGAGAGGCAGCTAAACAAAATTAGTAAGAAAAGTATATATTCAGATTAAACCGATATCAGGAAACTGTACTTCAAACAGTGCACATTGTGCTATTCCATGAAATCATAGTCTAAGGCATTAGTCATCTTGGTTCAAACATCTCGTAGAAAACAAAATGTGAAAAGAAACTGAAAAATAAAAACAACAAACAAGAAGTGTTAATGCATTCTGCACAGACATTTATAATGTTTCAGAGAAGTTAGCAGGATGGAGTGAAGCACATACCTTGAGCGAGATCTATGGTTGCGTTTTCCCTTGGATGTCTTACCAGCTTCCCTTCTCTCTTCATAATCAACATCTCCATACTCCTCATACCCATCCTTGCTCCTCCGTTTGCTGCTCTTGTGCTTCTTTCGCTCCGATGGGGAGCTCTCCTTCTTTTTACTCCTCCTGCGCACGCTGCCGTCACTTTCTGACGAGGACCTCGACCGCCTGCGCTTTTTGCTGGATTTTGACGTGGAGGAAGACTTGTAGCTTTCATCTAACGTGCTACGTCTCGAGGACCTGTCGTACCGAGCCCCGTCCCTGTCCCTACTTCTGCTCCTCTTACCATAGTCCCTATCTTCCCTGCTTCTACTACGCCCCCGATCGTCCCTGCTTCGACTCCTGCGACTTCGGCTCGAGTCCCCGTCCCTCCGCCTGTCCCGCTCCTCGTCTGAGTACTCTCTGTCCCTATCTCTCCGCCTATCTCGGTCGTCGTCTGAATAATCTCTGTCCCTATGCTTTTCGTACCTGTCCTTCTGCCGCCTATCTCTCGAATCACTCCTGCTGTCTCTTCTCCTTCCCTCTCGACTCTCCCTCTCCCTACTTTGCCTATCACTTCTGGAACGCCCCTTGCTTTTATCCCCACGCCTTTCCTCAACACTAGGACTTCGGTTGCTTTTCCTTTTCTCACTAGATTTCTTGTTTTTCTTATTATGTCTGTCACTTCTACTCATCTCTGAATCAGATAACTGTCTTTCTTCATCGTCAATCTTTTGACTTGACTTAGGCTTCTTTTCTGTAACTACCTCCCCTTCATTTTTGTCTCTTTGCTTTCTTTCTGAAACATTTCTGTCTTTCTTTTCGGAATGAGTATCCCCCTCCCTCTCTGAGTTCTTTCCAACCGCTTCTCTGTCAGATTTTTCTCTTCTTTTCTCCCCTTCTAACTTCACCTCACTGTGTTTAGACTTTGCCACTTCTTTCCTACCACCCTTTTGCTTTTCTTCCTCAAGGGACTTGAGTCTTTCCCCCTTTTCTTTTTTCTTCCTTTTAACATTCTTTTCAGCACCAGATGATGAAGATGAAGATGATGAGGATGATTCTGAATCCGATGATGAAGAATTACCACTTTCTCCTTCATCCTCACTGCTACTACTACTGTCACTATTGGAGTCTGAATCAGACGAAGAGGAAGAACTTCCTGAGCTAGTCTCTCTGTTATGACCAGAACCCTTTTTGCCCTCTAATTTTTTCGAGGATTTTGAAGAACCCCTCTTTTTCGAAGAACCACTTTCTTCAACCACTTTTGCACTAATCTTTTTCTCTTTACTTTTCCTATCCCTATCTGCATTTGCGTTATCTTGATCTAAATTGGCATCGCCACTCGTTTTCCTTTCCTGCCCTCTGTGATTCTTACTTTCACTGCTCTTCCTTCTTTCTTTCTCACTTTCTTCTTCCACATGTGAGTCTTTATGATTAGTTTGAGCCTTCTTTGATTTGGAATCATTTTCTGCCTCAGCAATGTCTTCTTTCTTATCTTTGGACTCTTTCACATCTTTACTACTACGCCTGTCTGCCCTATCACTATGCTTTTTAGAAATATTCTCGTCTTCCTCCTTTACAGCCTTGTCTGAAGGTTCTTCTTCCTTCACCTTCCGCTTTGAAGGTAACCTCAAATCTGGCTTGTAATCTGTAAATAATACAAATAGTGGCAGTGTAACTATTAAATCTTAAAAATCTAAATCTTTAAAGTGTTTCAATAAATGTACATACTTTGCAGAAAAATATAATTCATTGACTGAAATAAATCAATCACAACATCTTTAAATCATTTAAAATCTCATTGAAAAATGTTTCAAAACGAGTTACAATTTCAGATACTTTGCTTTTCATAAATAAGTGAGCACACAGACTTTTTTTGAGAGACGCTTTAACACTCCATAAGAAACAAAGAGAAAAAGAACATCCTAATATGTTGGAAAACTAACATTAAGAGGCGTCCACACTAAAGACAAGCACATCACAACAATCACAAAATAGCATACAGCTGAAGAAAAGGGCCACAGGAAAAAACCAAGAGACATACCAGCTGCACTTTCCAACTACCAGTTACCAACAAACATTACAGCAAAAATGGGAGATTACTAACAGTATTTGTACACTGTTCTTTCCATACAATAAGTGAAACAAGACACTTGAGTTTTTAACAAACAATTTGTATCATCACATGATTTTGGAAAATGGAAAGAGAATGTGATGTCTCAATACAAGCAGATATCTTTTTAGTCTTTTAAAATTTCTTTTATCAAATTCTTCACTATCATTCATCAAAATTTGAACTTTATGAGTAACTGTACTAAATACAACAAATAGCATGTTCTCCTGGACACTGCATAGTGGTGCCTGTAATGGTATCAAAAGAACAGGATTTGTCAAATTAATATTATGATCAATTTTGAAAGGTGCTCACCCCATATTGATTATAGATTTCAAAAGAAAACTACTTTAGAGTAGAGCATTGTGGCAGCTATTATAGTCATTGAAGAGCAGATATCTTCCTTATTACAAAACTTCCTGGAATTTCTGAGGAGTTTATTTTCTCACCAAACAGTTCAAATCTGCAAAAAAATCTTCACCCACCCACAGTAGAACCACTGAACCAAACCTTTTTCCTGAGTTGGAGTGTAAATAAGACCTACGTTTTTACAATGATTGGATCGATTCTTTAAACTTTTTTCACAAAATTTCTTGAATGGTCAAATCAGTACGAAATATTCCCAAAGGGATTTCTAGTCACATCAGTTAAGCATTTGAACTAATGTACAGAAATAAGAGGGTACAAAAAATAAGAGTTAAACATTGATACACATTTGTGTCATTTTAAGTGCCCTTGTGCGGGAATGACACATATATTTATATGCTATTGTAGGCTAGTAATATGTCTTGTAAAGCTCATTGACCATTGTGAATTATGGAAATGACCTATATAAATACCATGTATCATTTTCACAGTAAAAAAACGCTGATCTAGTAATCATTGCTCAAAACTCACCATCATCTTCTGCATCACTGAAGATTCTCTGTCGCTTTGCAAACTCTTCTTTCTTCCGTCTGATCTTCTCCTCCAGGTCAGAGTCGGAGTCGTCGTCAGCGCCAGAGCGGTCCTCCCCTCCGCTTGCCTCACTGTCCGAGCCGTAGCCAAGTCCTGCCATTGGTTTACTCATGAGACAAGGGTTCGGCAAAGGAAATGCGTCTCAGTCAAAAAAGTCCCCATTCATGACCCTACCATTGGGTAAGGGGACCTCAGTCAATTTTTGCTAGAGAAGTATCCACTTTACAAAGATAAAAAAATATAGCCATATCTGTTGTTGTGTTCAAACTGAGACACTTGAAACCTATAAATATGTACTGTCGCCAAAAGTGGTTTTTGTCCGAAATACAAACTACCAAGATTTTATTGCATTAAAAAAAATTATAATAATTCCCCCATCCGAAAGTTACTTGAGAAGCTTTTCCCAAACATTATAACACCTTTTTTATTTGTTGACTGACAAGTAAGAAGGAGAGGTATAAAGACAACATAACATTTTGAGTTGGGAATACATAAGACGAGGTAAAAAGGTAGGAAAAATCCTGGAATTTCAGTAACGCTCGACAACAAACATTGACTTTTGTGGAAAACATCTTATAATTCCAAGAAACACTTGAAATAATGGGACACCCTCTCCCAAGCAAACATTTTGAAAAGAAGCAGAGACGGGGACAACTGCGAGGAACTTACCAAGAGAGGTCAAAGAAGCCAAAGCTGAGGACTTGGCTAGCTGCCGTGCGGGAGCTTTGATACAATTACATAGACAGACATTAGTAGGGCAACTACACCACAACAAAACACATGTGTATCATGGACCGTGCTGGAGCGCAACAGTCTGCAGCATCTTCACCCACAGGGCAACCCGCTGAGAGCCAAACGCAACGAGCCTGAAAGAAACTCTTAATAAATGCATGAATATCTCTGTGGAGGAAGGAAACATATCGAAACACAATAATGTGGTTCATCTGTGACAGAAAACTAGTTAGGGCGGTAGACGGTCTTAGTGTCTTAGTCATGGTTAAAAGAACAAACATCTGCTGATTGAGGATTTACAACTAACATACACTCACTTAAAGTACTCAACTTTCAGTAATTCTACTCTTCATTTCTCTCCAGGAGATCAGACTGTTCATTATCCAAACGCTTCAACAAATCCCATAATGGCTATAGCTAGTCACAAGCTACACTAGCTCTCAAAAATCTTTCAAACTTGATGTAAGTCTACATCTTGCAAATCCAGATCATTCTATGAAGGCAATTTATTTCAATTTATGTTCTTAGAATCTCCATAGTAAATCAATTTTATAAGTCAAAAGCAGGACATACATCAGGTAAAAAGAGATTAATAAATGTTAGAATAAAGGAAAAAGAAATAAACAATTTGCAGCATTTGTCAGTATAATGATGTGGGAAGCACTGAGGCCAGTAATCCTCAACATCCCCCTTTTCCCACAATTCATTCAGTACAGAAGGTACTCAAGAACCTTACAGAATATACTCAACCTTCATTGGTATATTCCAAGTGTAATTAAAGCTGTAGTACCACAGAAAATTAATAATACTCACCATAGCACTACTGTAAAAAAGTGCATACCTTACGAACTGTTCGTAGCTAAAATCAAAACTTGAATAGGCCTGAATTTCAAACGAATTCCCGTTCAAGAATTGTAAACTGATTTGCTATTCCTGGCATAGTATATTTGTGAATAGAACAGTGTTCCGTGAATGGCAACAGGCAAGACACTTGTCATTTCTGAGCGTATCCTGAGCAAAGCTCGAAAGTGAATACAGAGAGAGGCTTGCACCACAGTTACCTTTCAGAGCTTTCTTCCGGGCTTTCTCGTGCACTTCCTTGGCCACCCCTCTGATCTCTTGGTTTGTCACCTCAAGCAATGTCTCGGTTAACATTTTCTTCACTTTCAACATCTGCAAAAGACAAGACAACATGATTAGAACAACAGGTAAATATCAAGTAAAGGTGAAAGTCCACTTTTTTTTTTAAAAGGAAAAAAAAGAGAGAGAGAAATAAATGAGCCTTCACCATAATTACGTCTCAAAAACTTTGTCCTATAAATATAAAGACAAAGTACATTTGAAAAAATGTAAACGTTGAACAAATCCTACTAGCAGAGACGAAAGGATCCCTTCTTGTGTAAGAAATATGAGAAACGTGCTGACAAAATGAGTTACTTTTCAAATCTATTACTATGTCCAAAATGGTATCCGGCAAAAATACACAAATTTGACCAGTGGGTCAATTTTAAGCCGATATATCCATTCATGGATTGCGAAAAGTAAGTCATTTTGTCAGTTATCACACATATAATAAAAACCAGCTTACTAATGCCATTTCTTTCTCCTCCTCTGTCATGAAAGCACTGGGCGAAGGACTACGTTTTGGACTGACAGAGGCCTTTCTTTCCTTGGACTGGGATGGTGATGTTGATCGAGACCGTGGCTTCTTGTCCACGTCAGAATCAACTTCATCAGAGTCTTCCTGGGCTTCCTTATCATCTTCATCATCAGAGTCCTGAAAAACAGAGTTGTTCTATGACATGCCCATATTTTGTATTATGTGGATGCTCTAATAATAAGAAGAATAATTAAGAATAACAATTCATCCGTCATAAACTGTTGCATAATGACCTTTTACATCCAGCAAGGAAGAGAAGTTACAGACCTTGGTTGCTAGTAAAGGAAATAATAGCAAAGTTAGTTACTTTTAGTAAAGGTTTTACAGCACTCACAACTGCATATGGTCATATGAGCGCCAGAAGATTAGATGTGTTAAAAGTGAGTAACAAACATAAAAAAGAAAAAGGGGAGAGAAAGACAATAGATGTTTGATAGGAAAGAAGAACCAAACCACACCAGAGCACCCGCCAACCACCCACAAATAATAGCAAAGCGGCTTGAAATGATCACACACTACAATTCCACGCAAAGAGCAAATGCCTTTCCTTTTCCAAATGTGGAGCCATTATCTGCCTATACCTAATGGAGGGGGGCGGGGGGCGGGCGTGCAGCAACAAAAACTACAAACACAGTACATTTTTATAAATGATTATCTTGTTGAAAACATCAAAATACCACCTTTTACACAGAAAAGTAGAAGAGTTACCTCGAAGCCGAAGAACTTATTTTTAATTTAGTTGTAGTAAGAGTTTTGCAGCACTTGCAACACTAATGTTAAATAACTGCCAGAGGATAAAAGGTATTCCAGGAGAGTAAAATGAAAAGAAAAGGTCAGATAAGGACGACAGATGTTTAAAAGGGAAAGAAGGAGCAAATCATGCCAGAGCACCACTCAACCACCCACTCCATAGTGAACTTACAAATTTGCTCCTGAGGGGATTTTTATCAGCATTACTTTTTCCAGCTTTTGTGTTCTCCTCCTGCTGTTCTTTCAGAAAAGCTTCCCGCTGCAACTTCATTTGTTCTTTTTCCAACTGTTTCTGTTTCTCCCTCTCCATTTTCTCCAAACCTTCCCTGATCCACACAGGAAGAGCCCTACGCTTGGCCGCATCTGGAAAAACAAGACATCAAAATCACACGACACAGAATACCAACCAGTAAATACATTCTTTATTTTATTTTTTAGTAGAGGTTTTACTGAGCTCGCAACTGCATAAGGTCATATGAGCACCAAGTGGTGGATGTCAACAGAAAACTCCTTGCAGGGAATCAGACTTACTCTGTTCACCTCTCTAGCTTCAACAGTACAAAGTCTGCTTCGACTATCAAGGCATCCCGGAAATAGTGGGTCACAAGAGTGTGACAAACATACAAAGGAAGGAGAGAAAAAATGACAATAGTAAGGATTAGGAAAGAAAAAGCAGCAGTTCCCTGTTGCAGATCAGGCACAGTTATGAGCGTGACATTGATGAATCAGCCCATTTACAATTCTACTGTACATGAACCAGAAATGTCCCCCCCTTTGGGAATGGCCTAAAGAAACTTCAGTCAGTGGCCGTCCCAGGGGGTATACATTCTTTAAACAATCTGAATGGTATTTATTTTGAAAAGCTCTGGAAAAAGAAAAAGTGTTTCCTTCTTTTAAACATTTCATTATGGGGGAAAAAAAAAGCTTCTGAATATCCATGAAACTTACGTCTTCTTAGAAGCGCAATCTGTCAGTACCTAATATGGCTATATTGACCAAGGTATCCGACGCCCTGAACACACTAAAAATATTTAGATGCATGATGCTTTCCACTTTGTCTCTAAATTTCTCTTCAATTCATTAACTTCCAGACACTTTTGTTAAGTTCTTCAGTAAAAAAAAGGACCATCCGAAACATTAATTACAAAATTACAAAAACACATAAAAACAAACAAACAAAAGCAAGGACATGCCTAAACTGGATTCCTCTCCTTCCTCCATTTGACCATGTCTCATCATGTCAGGACGACTTGGCCGGTGAAGGTCATGATGGTGAGAGTGATGGTGATGATGGCGATGGTGGTGGTGATTCTGTGGTCTTGCCGCATGGTCGGGTAGGAGCCCCGCTTGCGACGAGTCACTGTCGACACCTGCAGAGTCCTCCCAGTAAGAAGGGTATGCAGTGTCTTTAGCCGGCATGTCCTGCTGGGATTTAAAAATGAGTGAAAAACAAATTACATGATGTAAAACAGAATCGAACCAGCTCTAACAGCCATCTGTCCAAAACAATTACAGTTACAAACGACAACTTCCCTTTTCCCCCTTGTGTTTTTTTTTTTACCATTACAAAGACACTGTTCAAGATGGCCAACTGTCTAAGACAACCACTTTCTCCTCCACAAAGGACGGCCACCTTCCACAATTTTGACTATGTCCTCATCGTTTCAACAAATTATTCTCTACTTTTCTGCCTACTTTTCATACAGTGGGGGAGAACAAATAGCAATGTTCACAGACAAATCAAATTTTGCACCATTTGAAATCAGTCTTCATTTTAACCCAACGACCACCATAAAAACAAAACTATTATTTTAAAAAGCATAAACTGCACTCCACTGTATCTCAAATGACGGCACAGACGCATAAACTGCACTCCACTGTATCTCAAATGACGGCACAGACACTATGCCATGTGTCTTCGTCTACATCTCTCCACAAATCTTAAGACAGGATACAAAACATTTATATACTACGAAAAGAAAATTTAAAATAGGGAAAATATTCCTTTAGACAGCAATCAGAAAGCTTGCTTAACAGTTCGTTTTTTCGTTTATCTCAGAAACATGACTTCCTCACCTGATTATAATATACATTTTCAGCAGGAAATCCTGGTGCAAACCCTGACATATCCCCACCAAAGCCATCCTGTGAAGTAAAAGTTAATAGAAATTACTCATTCAATCAGATATGACTTAAAAATACAATATGGTTTTGATAAGTTTTTAAAAAAAAGGATGATAGACATCAAATTGGAACATTTTGCAGTCTAACAAAAGTTTTGACATAGTCTGTTATAACAAAACACACTTAATTCAAGAACAGGAGTTAACTGAGAGAAAATACCCCCCCCCCCCCTTTGAGGAGTCTCTCTATACCATTAAAAAAAAACCCAGTTGAACCGTAACAAATCTGGTGGTCCTACAGACGTACGTGTGGGCGGATCTGACTGTATTCTTACATGCAAACTGAGTTGCCCTGCATTAAAAAATAGAAATCTCTTTACCTTTGCAGGCATCATCTGTTGGCCCATCCACATCTCAGGCGTCTGTTCCGCCGCAGGCCACCACGGCTGCTGCTGTTGCTGCTGCTGCATCCCCCACATGCCTGGGGCCACGAATGCTTGGGGCATCACTGGGGCTACTACCGGGGCCGCTGGCAGTGTACACAGCAAAAATACAACTTACAACAACAACAAAAAACCCTAAGAAAATAAAGTTCTTGATGGTCACTTTTATACACGATGATTCAGGCTTGCCACCTTTGTCCAAACCCACGTCAGGGACACCCAATGTAAATATGACATCGTATCACGTAAAAATGAACAAAATTTACATCAGCAAACGTTCTCTAAAATTGCCGAATCTGGGACAGTCGTTCAAGGAAATTTAGGAATATTGGCATGCCTGCATCATTTCCCTATTCCAACCTTAATAGCTCTCCAAACATCATAATAAAGCTATATAAATTCTCTTCCCTTTAACTTTACCATCTGAGCATCATGGGGCACTCAAAATGACATGTTTCAATTAAAATACACAATTTGGAAATTTTAACTTTTCTTGTATTCTTATAAGATGAACAGGGAGAAAATTCAGAATTACAACAAAATTCAGTCTCATGTATAACTTTAATATCAGTTAAGCGTATGCAAAAAATTAAAAACCCTCACTTTGGATTTTTAAAACCTCAGCAAAATTTGGCTATACCAGAGATGCCAACCACAGAAAACCGAAATGAGTATTGGGAAATATGAAAATGTGTATTTTCAGGGGAAAATGTGTGCTCTCCACGACCGACCGACCAACCAGTAAAATGTTCAGAGTGTCCAGTAATATTTCCTGGAAAAAAATTACTAGCTCACCAGCTCGAAAAAGGGAGCACATACACGTACAATAAACATGTATCCAGTCAATAACATGTCAGTGGTCAGTGTCGTACTGGGGTCTTGTTTGACTTAAGTATTTCAATCTGTTATAATATTTTCCTCTCATTATTATTATTAAAAAATTAATCCTGTTTTGAGCGTTCGGAAGGGCCTAGAACAAGAATTTCGACTATCAAGAACCAGTCTGGGTGTCGTGATTCATATTTTTATTATGAACTGACAGACTAAAATTATTGCTCAAACTCAGAAAAGAGCAATAACTTGAACGGCTCAAGTAGACCCGTGCACTGTGAGAGTTGTAACAACTGTGGGGGGGGGGGGGGGGGGTAAGATGCAGTGACACTGAAAATCTGCCCGTCTTGAACAGAAAGCTACAACATACACTGTAGGTATAATTTACTATCACCCATCCAATGACACGCGAACATTTTATTTCAATTACACAGACTTGTAAAGTAATGAAGGGTCCCGATTCCGCACACGGCCTGCACCAACGCGCGCTTTGCAGAGAGCTCTAATCAAAATGCTGAAATTTGCCTCCAAGTTTTTGTCCTCTGGGTGTTTCCTTCACGCCTCCTCCCCCCGAGTGTATCTTTTAAAATTCAATAATCCCCTCCCGTAGTCTTATACTTGGCAACGCCGTTACTCCCACCAAACACGGTCTTTGCTCACACGATGCCGCATTTATTTGTGATGCGAATGCGCGCAGGTTCATGGACCGGTCACAATGGTAAGCCCAACAATCTAAAAATTGGACGACGCTTGTACTTTCTTTTCTTTTTTTCCTACAAGTGACAGCACAGAGACGAGTTCAAGAAATTATATTTGCACAGCAACACAGCGTTTACACTGCACAACCTGCATGTCACAAATAAGTTGCGTTATCAGTCTATCGCTGACAAACTTCTCGGTGGTAACAAAAGCGAGAGTAGATCTTGATTTTCCCGATCAAGCCTCGGTGTCACATATACTTCCGCCATAGCCGCCTGTTCGCGTGAAAGTGAAACGTACTCTCGGAGGAGGAAAAGCTAAACGAATATAATATCACAATCGCGACCGGCAAAAATGAACTTACTGACCTTATCGGACTTGGTTTTCAAATATTCCAGTTTCGCGATACTGATACTATTTTAAACAAAAGAGGGGACTTGAGATAATTAAGTCTACTCGCCCAAACTGGATCTCGTATTTTTCGCATTCCAGGATGCGTATTTTTTCATGAAAAGTCGTATTCGCGTATTTTCGGCAAAAAATTGTACTAAAATACGTAAAATCGTACTGATTGGCATCTCTGCTATACCAACCAACCTAGGATTACATGAAGAGAATAAATTTCAACACAATAATCAAAGTGCTAAAATCATCCATACTCAAAATAAAAAAGTAAAACATTTCTGTTTATATACATATTATAGTGTAAAGCGCATAGAGCCTGCTGTTGAGCGGGGATATGCGCTATACAAATGCTATTTATTATTATTATTATTAAACATTAAGTTAAAAAATTATCAATGTTTTAAAATCCACATACCCGGACAACATATATTCTACAACACACACAGACACACACAAAAAGTAAACAAACACCAAGCTCAAGCAGACAAAACCCCCCCCCCCCCCCCCCAAAAATTAATTTAAAAAACCAACAAAAAACAAAGAATGAACGATAAAGAAACACACCATTATCCTCTCCATCCGAGGCAATCTCCATGCTGTTTTCATCTTCCGTCTTGGGGGCTTGCTGTTGCTGCTGTGGGCTATTCACATCCTCCTGTGGAGGGGGTGGGGGTGGCGGAGGAGGAGGCGGTGGGGGCGCCACTGTCATCACGTCTACAGGCGGTGCTGCAGGTTCAGCTGACCCCATGGCCCCACCTGTGTTTGTAACATTTTCTCTGTGACTGATCCACTGCTTTGCTAGGGCCGCCCAGTCCACTGGAGGAAATAAAAAGAAAAGGAGGAAATGAGCCAACGCTCTCTCTAGAGCAAATTGCTATGGTGAAGATATGAACTTTCTCATGCAAGCAGCAATCTATAGTCGACATGCACTAACTGCCGACTTCCTACTGCCCCCTTGCATTTTTTCTAAATTATAAAGAAACTGTCCAAGACGTCCACCTGTCTAAGACAACAACTTTTCAGTCTTCTCCTCCATGTGGGTAGCCGTCTTGAACAGTTTCGATGGTAATTCTTTATGACTGGTGAAATAAAGTAGAATATATTGCAGCTGTATTTTGCAAAACAATAATGAATTGAGAGTTTTCCATCTTGAGTAAGGCCTAGATTGTGTTAATGCAAGGAGTTTACTTCACTGAGAATTTAGAACATTATCTTTCAACTTCAACAGTACAAAATCAAGCCAGCTGATATCATATCATATCGTGAAGATTGTCTGAAAACTATCAAAAGACGCGAATGTCTAATGACATTTCTAAAACATTGTGCCAAACTTACAGTACTTTAAAAGTTTCAAACAATCTCAAAATTGAAGTTTGAATGCTCTTCACTCTTCACTTTTGATATCCAGACGAATTAAAGAAAATAAACTCAAAATCTTTTTATAAATAAAAAGTCATGAATACAACAGTAGTTTTAATATAGATGTCTAAAACTTAAAACTTAAGTGAGCTTTGGTCAAATTTCAAATTATACAACCTTGATCATGAGGAACATTTTGGTAATCTGCTTGTTGCATGGACCATCCTGTGCCAAATGGATTTGCCCACATGTTTGCATCTGTGGAAGAAAAATCAGAGATGGTTGAATTATGAAAAATAAAAATAACAAACAGATAAAAACCATGAATGAAACTGCTAGACCATGAGTTAATGAACAAACATCTGAAGTGGAGCATCTTATATTGAATCAGACACAGTACTTAATATTCATTGTCAGTAGTGTTGATAGGAACCAAGCGACGAAGACTGGCAAATCAAGTTCTAAACTCCTGTCTCTCGCAAGCCACTCCCAGCAGCTCGCGGTCAGAACGGTCACCCTTCAGAGATAGATCAGATTTAAAAGAGTTACTAGGCTATTTACTACAATTCTGTTGAAGTCAAATTAATAATTAATTTTAGTCCCTGTCCTGTCACTTTTCTGTGAAAAAGTTAGTACGATAATAGTGCAGTACAGTACACACAGGCATGGCACAGACAGCGCAAGTCATACCCCATAAAATAGCTTGCAATAGTTATATATATATATATATATTTATATATAATCATACATATCTGATCATGAGGGGCATCTATTTCTCCTCTTTTTTAGTTTTAGAAATCTACTCTACACCCGTCGGAAGGAGTTGAGTAACAAGCGACCAAACCAACAAACACAATTTATAAGAGGAAGTCGTTATTCTGCCCTCGGGGTGCCAATAATCCTGTCATTATTCTGCTCGCTTCTGTATTTTTGAATTTTTCGGATAAGGACACCCCCCCTCCCCCCACCACCTGTTTCCGGTTGGAGTCTCCCCTTTGATTTTCAAGATGGCGGGTGCTGGCGCCTCGCTGAAACCTGGGAATGTTTTCATAGTTGCACCATCAGCATGTTTTCCATTATTCTTTCTTTTTTCATTTCTTTTGTTTCTCATCTAAGGACAAAGGCAAGAAGGAATACGGCATCTCCATATATACGTTCCAACTGTAATCAAAAAGTCCATCCCACTATGACCAAACTGACACTAACACGAATTAACTCTCCCCCCCCCCCCCCCCCAACACACACACATCCAAAGAAGACCCACAAGAATAACAAAACAGAAAGCAGACAGTAACCAAAAACTACAAGTAAAATGTGTACAATATAAATAAAACAAACCTCCCTCCCCCCCCCCCCCCCCTTCTCACCCCATACACACACTTTTTTCTCCAAGCCACCCACTGCAAAGACAACTAGCAGAAATTTTGACTTAGATAAAACAGCTCAACTGTGTGTGTGTGTGAGTGTGTGTGTGAGTGTGTGTGTGTATGTGTGTGTGTGTATGTGTGTGTGTTCTTTTCATCTCGGGTCAAAACCAATCACGATTTTGTGGCATACCCTCGCTTGGGGCCACTTCGACAGGGGTTGGTGCAAATTTGACCCCCGCATGAGGCAACTTCGACATGATAGGCTGTGACAGTACTGACAGGGGCTGTGGGAAACTTCAACAGGGGGCGGACATCTTCATCAGTAATGGGTTCTTATTCAACTTATTGTGCCCCCCCTCTGTCTCTCCTTCTCTTTGAACTCCTCTCCGCTGAATTTTCTGTTTATCTCTCTCACCCCCTGTCCTACTTCTCTTTCCCTGCCGCCCCCTCTCCTTCACCCTACGAGCGCATGCACAAACGAAGACATGCACTCACGCACACACACAGTTCTCTCTCTCTCTCTTTCTCACACACACACACTTAGCTCCTGACATGTGACAGTTGAGCAGTCTTGTAAGTCTAAATTTCTGCTACTTGCGTTGGTGGCCTAGTGGTTAGGCTCTCGGACTCGCAAACGTAAGGCCATGGGTTCGAATCCCGTCAGGGGCCAGGCGTTGTGTCCTTGGGAAAGGCACTTTACACGAATTTTCCTCACTTCACCCAGGTGGGAATGGGTACCCGGCTACAGACAGCGAAAGATATTGTCAGTTTGCTAGTGTTTGAGCGCTTAATCAGCTGCTTGCACTGTATGCTTCCCGGGAAGCTGAGAATGTTTCGGAGTGTTCTTTGGTCTGCTGGGGTAATTATAATATAGTGTAAAGCGCATAGAGCATGCTGTTGAGCGAGGATATGCATGCGCTACTATGCAAATGCTATTTATTATTATTATTATTATAGTTTGTATCTGACAGGTCAAGGATTTCGACCTAAGATGAAAATGATAATACTTGACAAAATTAAACAGAAATATGATAGTTTATTATGGCTGTCATTATTCGCACCCGGGGAGAAAATAATAAACATAATGTTATTCTCACCCGGGGTGAGAATAATATTAATATATATTGTTATTCTCACCTCGGGTGAAAATAAAATGAATATTATTCTTATCCGGTCTGAGAATGCAATGGGTTTTTAGGTATACCTGGGTGTTGAGAACGGATGATAGAAAATAATTTGTGAATAGTAAGAGAGTGACCGTTCGTGACCTGCCCCAGAGCGCTGGCCGATTTTTCTAGGCTCCCGCAGGGATTGTTAAATTGTTTCATTTTTTAAAAATCTTGAGAGTATGTCTTCACCAAAACCCTCAAGACAAGTGAAATATATTCTAAATTCAGAAAAGAATTCACTTGCCAGAATAGTATGTTTTTAAAAATAATAGCCTTTTTACAGAAAACTGTTTAATGAAATTATAGTAATAGTTTGTCATTTGTAATGTTAGAATTGGCATTTGTTTACAACACAAAAAAAAAACATGCTTTTAATTGTTATTCTAGCAGAACCCACGATTATTTTTAAGGAACGCAGTGCCTTGACCCGAGGCTTATTTTTTTCCTTAATTTTGATTGATTAACCATTCTACAGTAAAATTTTCCATAAATAAGGCCTACAGAACGTATAAATTAATAGGCCTACTGTAGCAACAAAAGGTGACGCTATTTGGTCAAAAGATATTATAAGGTTTTTCCCAAAATCGATAATAATCGCCTCCCACGCCCGAGAACTGGCCCGCCCGTTCTCGATTTTAGTTGCCTCGCGCGCTCAGTGGAGTGAGAGAGGGAGGGAGGCGAGTTTTGTCGCCAGGAGCGTTCAGTGACAGGGGTCCTATGATGCCCGAAACGAAAAAAAAACGGGTGAGAATAGTAGGCTGTCGTTATTCTCACCCGGCACCCGGGGTGAGAAAGTATGAAATTTTATTCTCACCCCAGTTTATCCTCACCCCGGATGAGAATAATCAGTGGTTTATTAAAGGTGATTCTGCTTTTAAATGAACGAAGTGACTATTTCTCCGAAAGCTCGGGAAAATAAATTTGATCTCTATTTCTCCAAACGGTTTCCATTTTCAAGATTTTTTAGTTATTTTTGCGAAATTTAGGAGTCATCTTTCATTCTGCCATTCTGCAAGGACTGGGAAGAAGCATTTTTTGCATCGAATTCAATTTCCAGAAAGCTAGAATCTAGACCTAGAGATTTTTAAATGTCTGAATATTCACCTCTGTTGTGGTTGGATCATGAGTGTTTTCTGAAGATTTCTGACAATTTTTCTAGAAACAAGTGGAAGCCCAGGAAGCCCAGAAACAAATGTGCGACGAATAAAACCGGGCTTTGATAAATATAATTCCACGACACAGGGGTCAAATGATTAGCAGGGAGGAATTCCGCAATGAGCGACCACTACGAAATAGAAAGGGTGATAGGGTTTTATTAAGGTTAAGGCTAGGGGTAGAGGAAGGGTTACGGTTAGGGTAAAAGTTAGAGGAGGGATAGGGGAAGGATTACGGGTAGATCTAGGTCAATCGGTTAGGGGTGGGTTAACCCTCATCCTGCGGGAGCCAGGTTTATGTCGCCCGATAAGCCTATTTCGGCACCTTGCCTACGTTCTGGTCTCGAATCAGTGTAGCCTTTGGTTCAGCGCACGCACAGCGCACGCACAGCGCGCGTCATCTTACGTGTCATTCGGGTCCCGAGTCGGATCCCCATTCACGCAGGTCAAGTGTGTGTGCGTCAGTCTGCTTGAATTTGTGCGCGTTTGTGGCCTTCTTCTAGAACCGCCTGCATTGGTTCATAATCGAGGCATACGTCTCATTCAAAACATGCAAAGTTGGTAGCTTTAGATGTTCGTCCAATGAAATTATAGAAGAAATTGACCACTTAGCCATGAGGAGCTCGAAAGGATAGTCAGGAAACAAGACTTCCATTTTTCTATACAAAATCTTTCAAATGAGCTTGATTTTGTATGAAATGATACTACTTGATAAAAAATGCTTGTTTGATAGTTTTAATACCATTGACATTGTGCAGGTACAAAGAACAATTTGAGTGTAAAACATGAATCGGAAATTGACCTATTTCTATCCCCTTTCGAACCTCAGAGCATCCAGAAAGGTTATTCGAATGGGCGTAACTACTCGTAATGTCTTATCAGCTTGTGAGAGGAGGTTATTCATGTGTTTGTAACACTTTATAAATAGAAAGCTATGAAAGATAGAGCGTTATTTTCATCATCGGTTAACACACTCCCGCGGTATTCATGGCGAAAACACACATTTCCCGGCGCGCGCGCTGTACACAAACAGTACACACTGAGTGATCCCGGCGGCCTGCCCAGCACGACCGACGTAATCGGTTGCTGATAAGATTCGCATCTCGGCACAGACGCAGGACAAGAAGAGTTTTAATCTAGGCTAAGGGTAGGTCTAGAGTCTAGAGTCTAGGTCCCTTCTTTATTTTGTTTGTGAAGTGTGAAGGTGGTTGCTCGTTACGGAAGTCCTTCCGATTAGCAAAAGCCAAGTCTAGGTTGAGGCTGTCGAAGTTGCCCCATGGCCGAATTTGCCCCTACCTACGCCGCCCTACGGTCAACCAACCAAATAATCTCAAGAACGGAAACCGTTCGGAGAAATAGATCTAGAGTCTAGAGTCTAGAGTCAGCCATCTATGACATGAAAGACAAGACCCTTAATTGTGGCGAGGATCAGTTGTATGTTGTACTTATATTGACAGAGACAGAGAGAACAGATTGTTGATGAAGAATGAAGCACACCTTTAAATTACTTAATTTTTTGACAATTTACAATTTAGCAAGACCTCCTCAACAATAGAGACTCTACTTGTGTAGTTTAACTTTACCTGCACGCCTCGTGAATGAAACTTGATACAAGATTCCAAGAACAATCAGATCTCTTGTTCTTGCTCTTTATGAAGTATCAATACTGTGTTATTATGACAAATATTCTATATTATGGTGGGATCTTTGACCTTAGACTTTAGACAAGCCGTGAAAAAAATAGATCCCAGTGTAAACACAGAACAGTGGGCTTGGCTTGGCAAGGCCCTAGAGATCTATGGTCGCTCTCCCCACAATTCATCGCCGCCGACAGCCGACGATGCCACAATGAGCAGGAGGGGAGGAGGATCGGTATTTCCCAGTATCGATACATACAATACACAAAGATTTTAGCCTTGGCCTTAGGGCCAACCACTTTGACCAAACCTCTTTTCTACACAATGTAGCCTACATAATGTTATAATTATTATGCCTAGGCCTTTGGAATATCCTAGGGGTGGGGGGGGGGGGGGGGGTGTTCGTTTTTGTTTTTGCTTGCTTTGTCACTGGGGGGGGGGGGTTGTTTGCTTGTTTTTTGTTTGTTTGTTTTAGGGGGAGGGGTGTTTTGGGTTGTTTTATTACAATTTTTATTTTATTTTTTAAAAACAAAGTTCTTGATAGATCTAGATTTAGATTTAGATCTAGACATATTATTATATAGCAACTTTTCTGTATATTATATATATTATGCAATCAAACCTCGTTATACCGCCAACATTGGGACTAGCGCAAAGTTGGCGGTACAGAGAGGCTAGCGGTTAAAGTTAATACGAAACCACCGGTCGAATGCCGTATCTTGACATTAGCGGTAGACTGGTATAGAGACTAACAAACTCTCGCTAAACTTTGAGTAAATTCAAAATGAAAGAAGTTGGGATCAGAGGCTAATAGTCTGTATATATATATATATATATATATATATATATATATATATATATATATATATATATATATATATATAAAGGACTCTGTAGACGTACGAGGTTTGTTAGTTTTGTTTTGTTTGGAGGGGGGGGGGGGAGGCTACATCCCGAAAGTCCCGATTCGGCTCTTGACTATGGATTTTAAGGTGTAGGCATTTTTAGCTTCTTCAGCCTCTCTTTCAACTTTTTCATAACATATAACCCCCTAAAGCCTTATTTCTTCTCATACCAGGCATGTTTCCATGGATACGGCAACCATATAGGATTTTGTTGACATGTCTTACGTAATTAATATCGCACTTATTTTTTAAAGGAAATAAATTGGGGGTTTTTGCATGCATCTTGGCAAACAATAGGTCTACAAAATTTGTGAGATTAATTTTTTCCTAAATGTACACCTCCAACAAAAAAAAACAACTATTCCATACGTCAAATATTAATCACACAAATTTTTTACATTACATCTTTTCTTCATCCTGTGAAAATTTCATGAAGATTGGATGAAAAATGGTGGGGTTATTATTTTCTTTAAGTGTATAGAAAAACCACGTTTCGTCAAAACGGGTGATAAAGAAAAATAAAAGATCGGGTAAGTGTAACAATAGTTAAAGAATATATCTTAACTTATTTTTCAATTGTGCTTTATGTTTTTAACTGCCAATTAAAGAAAAGATATATTTAAATAGTTGGACTACCAAGGGGGAGACGTTTTATTATGTCAAGCTTGCAGAGACACGTGTTGGAAAGATTATCAAGCAGCAATTGTATGAGTGTCTTGCGTCGTGTAGGTATAGTGTACACGTATTACTGTAGGCCTATCTTTGGCAGCCAATTCACTGGCAGTACAACGGGGCACATTTATTTTAGTTCAATAAGGGCCGTACAACTCAGACAGTTGGCGGACGGCGGTGTAAAAGTGCGAATATTATGTTTATATTAGGCGTTCCTTTTCGTAGGCCTACATAGGCAAAACCCGGTGGTAAGCGGGGCTGCGCGGTCATTCTTCTGCTAAGCCTGCTCAGGGTAATTTGGGTACATTTTTGTTCTTGTACCGAAGATTGTCTACTTCAACACCTTTCACAGACTGTTGAGGGGATCGGCACCGGCACCAAAATGTCTTAAGTTTAATTTTCTTTGGGATTTATTTTATTTTATTTTATTTTAAAAAATGTAAATTGTTGGTGTAATTTCGACCATATAATTATACAGACCTAAATATTGTATTACTATGCACCGTAAGCGATCTGAATTATTATGTCTTTTAAATGGAGAAGAAAAAAAAAGGGGGGGGGGGGGGGGGGTTGATCCAGGGGAGAGAAAGGTACTTCACCTTTTAAAAAAAATATTTTTCATAAACTTTTTCATCTTCTGTTGTCATTCATTAAGCGTCGTTGTTAGGGGGGGGGGGGGCAGTTTTCTTTTGTGAGCCATGATCTCTGCACGAGCCTCTTCAATCGGGTGGCTGTAGTTTTTCGTGGTTTCTATTATTCTTTGTTTTTCTGTGATCTCTGGCAGGACTCCGTGTCAACAGTTGCCCTTCTATCGTCATTCCTCATCCCGTCTCCGTGATGATTAGCGTTCTGTGGCAGGAGATCGTCCGTTTTGCGGAAACATTAATTTTCAACTTACATCACTAAGCTTCTACTTGCACGGCCTATCATCTGAATTATTTCAAGGGGAAAACAAACAAGCAAGCAAAAAGAAAGCAAAACAAGAGAGAGAGAGAGAGAGAGAGAGAGAGAGAGAGAGAGAGAGAGAGAGAGATGGGTTCCATCAGGATCTACCAGTTTGTCATATTATAAGCCTCACATCAACGTGAAGGGTTTGCAACGTCCATCGTTCTGGTACAATAATACGTGATTTATTAAATTCAAATGCACTTGTTAGACGCCACCATCTACACAATTTACATCATTAGGCAGGCTTCTGGTCCTGGCTGCCAGGGCCAACTTGGGCTGGGAGGGATACAACATCCCAGCAGAAGACTGAGATACCGTCCGAGCTAAAAGTTCCTACATCCTATCTCGGGAATCAAACTCGGGTCTCCTGCGTGGATCAGTGAAGCGTCCAATACCGCTGCACCACAGATGACGGTAAATGAATTCTTGATATTGCTACCACTGGCGACAATATTATAATAAAAAGATACTTTTGCTCAGTGGTGGCTCGTGGTTTATAGAACTGACCGGCGGTCATTCACGTCGACTATTTTCCCTCCCTCACCCCCTTCCTTCACAACACACATACTCACACACACACACACACACACACACACACACACACACACACACACACACACACACACACACTACACTACACACACACACACACACACACACACACACACACACTACACACACACTTACACACACACGCACGCACACACACACATGCTCTCTCTCTCTCTCTCTCTCTCTCTCTCTCTCTCTCTCTCTCTCCTTATTTTATACCCCTACTTTCGCCATCCCCACCCCTCCCCCACTCACACACACCACGGTAAACATTGTAATATAATGTGAAAGAGCTAAAATATGCGGTAGCGTCAAGAAACAATATTATGAATAATGTAAGATGGAAGTTACTTGATCGGCACAAAAAAAGAAACACACTACTTGAGTCTAAGCTAGAAAACAAACTGAAAGTGAGAAGCAATAAATCGCAGGTCCTGGCCTCCAGTACAGTACTTTACTCGTACTTTCTACACACCCATACAAAATATCGACGTGCACTGAACCCGTTGAATATAATATGTAATAAGAACTGTCCTGTATGATGACAAAAAGTCAATTGCTACTGTATCAGTGACGCTGTCCCAAGCAGATCAAGTCTACAATCAGATGCTATACAAAGCTGGACAAAGCACACACGTTTCCGATCATTATATCATCAAATGTACTTCATCTATCATCAAATGTACTTCATCGCACTTCTCAGTTCTCAGAACTGAACACTGAACACTGTGTTGTAACAAAGTGGGGAAGTGTGTCAAATGCTAATTATAGAACTTGGTGTCTAGCTGGGGTGAGGGTTGAAAAGGGGAGGGAAGGGAGGGGGTTTTCGGCCCAGACTCTGACAGCCGATTGCCTACGCTCCTCGTTAAAATTTTCCTTATATATCTTCACTAGACGATTCCTTTTTTCGCCGGCCAAACTCCTAAGGGCCAGGTAAGTTATTAGTGGGGAGAAAACGATGAGTAAATGCCAAACAGGAACTATAGGTGGTTAAAAAGTCAAGAATCAAAAAAGAGTAGTGCCATGCTGACAATAAATGTTCTGATAGTAGTTAGAGAAAGGCTGAATGATAAATACATGTTTTGCTGATAAAATAATACACGTGTCTGTGCTGCTCAAGACAGTCTCATTCTTAATTTTGTAAGCTACAAAGAGACCAATCTGGCAATTAAGAGATACACTAATCTTTCTATGGACTGACGATGGATTTGTCCATGGGACTGACGTCATCGCTAGGCCTTAGCCAAGCCCACCGTGTATTAATTTAGTATGTAGTACGAAGTTCCGCGACGTGACGGTTTGACGGGAGACGATTTAAAGTTAAAGTTATGAGCCGGCGCGATAACAAACGTGAAGGAATGAGGTTATGTCGCGACAAAACAGCAGTGAATCCCACTTGTCTATTTGAGCGCCTTCAAATCGGCAAGGTGTTTTTGAATGTTGATACATGTTTGTTTGGATTTACTTAAAACTGAATGAAAATCGTCATCAGCAATAAACCTCTAGTCAACAGTGCAGTTGACAAAAATCTGACCGGCACCGCCGTTCTTGCCCAGTTAACAAACTGCCCCTGCTTTTGCTACATCCGATGAAAGATGATTATTGTTATAGGCCTATATGCTGGAACATTATACTAACAAACTAGATTCTAGATCTATGCCATAGAAAAAAATTAATATAAGCACAAAACATGGGAACAGTGGTTAAATTCACATAGATCTACTTGAAATAACTTTCGAACGACTTCTTTAAAAGACAATTTGAAAACATTATAATAATACAAAAATTATGTAATTGAAAAAGTCTACAACTATCGGTCCGTAAAAGGGGAAAAAGAACAACCCAAAATAAATGTGCATAACAAACCTGTAGTATCGATACTCCATAAGGTCTTAAAGCTGACTACCGGAAGTTAGATTAGATATCAAATCAACGACAATTCAAGATGGCAGCCTTTGCAGCAAATTTCATGCCGCAGGACCCAAATAATTCTCTCTCAAGCTCTAACACTGCAACTGCTGCAGACAGAGCACAGAGATCTGTTTTTGGTGATCCATTTGATACTTTACACTGACTGTATCTCTATGTTGTATAGTTTTCTGTTTGTTTAGTCGATGATAAGCCTACATTCCTACATTGCATTCTTGCCAATCTCGCTCCACCAGGAATCCAACGCCAGGCCTAGGCCTAACCACAGACAGTTCAGACACATGATGTATAGATAGAATCTAGACTAGATCTAGATATCTAGATCTAGAGTCTATATATAAAAGCTGCAGTGAGCACCTAACACACCTCTGTGATTGGCCCAAATATAGAGTAGCTGGCCCAACCCTCGACCACTTGTCTTGTCGTATTTTGCTTCTCAGCGGTCTCTGTCGGCAAAATAGGTCCGGCAATCCATGTTCAGGGCCACTTCAGTGTGTCAACTTCCGCCCGCCATCCGGTTTATACAGTGATATCGCCACTCATTCCAATACGTCATTCGCAGAGTTATATAAAATGGCCACCTCTATTCTCACCCGGAGTGAGAATAGTGCAGGCGAGTCTTGTGGCTATTCTCACCCGGTGCGCGTTCACCAAATTTTGCGTTCACCCTAAACCACAGAATTCTACACTGTGACTGTGATAACAGAAAAATTGTAGAATTCTGTGCCGTGAACAAACGTTCCATTACAATTGTAGCCTACTAAAAGCGTACAATTTTGTCTGTGGGCAGTGGAGAGAGAGAGAGAAAGAGAGAGAGAGGAGTAGCGCGAGAATTTCCGGGCAAAACAAAATGGCGACCCGCGTAGTTCGGCTCGATTCGAAAAGTTAAATAGCCGTAGCATCTTTGTAGACAACCAAATTTATTTACTTTTGTGTTTTAACATCATTTTTTAACTTTGTTTTGGTCAATTTGATCGTCCACACCGATAGACAGTATTCAGAAAGAGACAGAGAGAGAGAGAAGAGGGGAGGAGTTGATCTTGCGAGAACTTCCGGGCGGGTGAGAATAGCCACTTTCATATAAAATACCTGGCCCAACCCGCGACCATTTGTCGTATTTTGCTTCTCAGCGGTCTCTGTCAGCAAAATAGGTCAGGCAATCCCTGTTCAGGGCCGCTTCAGTGTGTCAACTTCCGGTTTATACTGTGATATCGTCAATCATTCCAAAACATCATTCGCAGATTTTGCATTTTAACATGTTAATGCTCTGCCCTTGGCGCGACCGCATGCCCTCAGCGCGACCGCATACCGGCATACGGAACAGGGCGCGACCATGCGTGCACAGATATGACAGGTGCAAGAAAGTTGTTAGTACACCATTTAAAAGTTAAATCTAGTAAAATCATTTCTTTATCAAATTATGATGAAAACAAGTATCTTATTAATAACTATAACAGAGGGTACAGAGACAAGTGGTCGTGGGTTGGGCCAGCTACTCTAGTTTAGATCTAGTAACTGAAGAAAACTTCTCAAAGAATGTTTCTGATAAGCTTTTCACTTCGGACTCGACTGCTGCTCTAGCAGACGACTGACGTTCTCGGAAAAGGATTGACCAAAAGTGGAACTAGACAAGGCACGTAACTCTAATAAAACAGATTGCACACGAGCTGCACAGAGAAGGAAAAATGGGGAACTGGTCGCGCTCAGGGCACGGTCGCGCCAATGGCGGCTGTCTCTAGTTTTCGGTACTCCCGATACCAAAGTGTTCCCGACACCAAAAGTATAGGTTAATTTATGTGTACGAACTTCAACGTCCACATATCATTAGTTAGCCCTATTTTCTGATTGGTTGCGGAGTTTCATTCGGATTGGTTCGGAAATAGAACAGACTGAAGTTGACAAAGTTAGTCACCTTCGCTACGACCGGGTCCACAAGTTCACCCGCAAACGGGGACCAAATTTTCGCTGCGCAGGAAAGCCCGATTGGCATTGCTATATAAACAGAGGGTATAGAGACAAGTGGTCTCGGGTTGGGCCAGCTACTGTAGTTAAGTAACTGAAGAAAACTTCTTGAAGAATGTTTCCGATAAGCCTTTCACTTTGAACTCGACTGCTGTCATAGCAGACGACTGACGTTCTTGGTAAAGGATTGACCAAAAGTGGAACTAGACAAGGGACGCAACTCAAATAAAACATATTGCACACAAGCTGCACAAAAGAAAAAATGGGAAACTGGTGGCACTCAAGGCACGGTCATTCCAAGGGCCGATGTCTCTAGATCTAGATGATGTATTTCTGCTATTCTATTTTTGTCGTCTTCCGGGGTCTCCCCGTAAAATTTTTGGGTTTCCCTTGACAGTAACTGTTGACTAGATCTTGCCGTTTTTGGGGTTCTTTTTTTGGTAAGCCCTATTAATTTATGTTATCTTTTAAACAACCTCAGCAATTCTCATTCCATAAATTTACCTTCTCCTCAAAGTTGTACATACACACACACAAGCCCAAGCAGTCGGCGTTGAAACCTAGATCTAGTGACATGGCCCATTGTGCGCTAAGCAGCAAAGCGGGCCCTCCACGGTGATCTCTAGTCAACTGGCGAGGGAAGCCCCAGAAGACGATAAAAATAGCAGATGGCTGAAATGCGTCATCTGTATTTGGGCCAATCACAGAGATGTGCTAGGTGCTCGCTGCAGCTTTAGCTTCATGTGTTCAGACTCAGTACTAAAGTTCTAGATCTAGATATCTAGATTGTTGATCTAGATTAGATTCTAGATTTTTTAGATCTAGATACATGGAGCTACAGCAAACACCTAGCACTCCACTGTGATTGGTCCTAATATAGATGACGTATTTCTGCCATCTATTTTTGTTGTCTTCCTGTGTTTCCCTTGACATTTGACTAAATTCACCGTGAAGGGCCCGCTTCGCGCGCGATGGGCTACACCACTAGGTTTCATCGCCCACTGCTTGGGCTGTGTGTGCGTGCTTGTGTGGGTGTGTGTGCGTGTGTGTGTACAGCTTTGAGGAGAAAGTAAATTTATGGAACGAGAATTGCTGAGATTGTTTATAAAAGTTACAAATTCATACAAAAAACATAAATACGGCGAGATCTAGTCAACAGTTACTGGCGAGGGAAACCCAAGTCTAGGGGGAAACCCTGGAAGATGACAAAAATAGATGACGGAAATACGTAATCTATATTTGGGCCAATCACAGAGGTGTGCTAGGTGCTCGTAGCTTCATGTCAAGATGAAAATGAATGTCATCTAGGCCTAGATCTAGAGATTTAGGATCCTACACTGTTACCACTACTGATACTATCTAGAGGTATTCTATCACTGGTCACTGACTAGTAGTATCTAGATTAATATTGTCGCACTAGATCTAGTCATCCTTCTCATCATGTCATCATTCATCTCATTCATTCGTTATGTTTTATCTAATGTCTGGTCAGGTCATGATGGTGATAGTGTCAAAGAATAATTTTAGAAGTCTGACTTCTTAGCCTACTCTCCCCCTGTTATTATTGCCCATAATTTTCAAAACCTAAAATGTTAAAAAGCTTGGCTCTCAAAATTGACAGTTGCAAATGCTACAGTTACAGAAGTCAAAATCCTTCCTTACATAAGTTCATTTAAAGCATTCATTAGCTCAGTTAGGCCTGCTGGCTTAGTAAGCAGTTGTTTCTGATAAACAGATAATAGGCTAATATCCTTGAATTTGAAATCAGTGAAAGTTTGCGAGCCCCAGAGCCCCAGCATAGAATGTTCCTTACTTTTCAACTTTGTCCGTTGGAAGCTCTTTGTGGGAAAAGGACTCAACAGAGGCAGAGGAAAAATATTTTGTATTATTGGTTGTAGTTGGACAAGTTAAAGGTCAAATAGAACAGTTGTCAGAGTTGTCTGGTGGTAGTCCATCTAGTAGAACAGGAACGTCACGATATAGACGGCCAGATGGACTGGCACCAAATATTGTGTGTGTGTATAAAACAGGCGGAACTTATAATTAAGTTCAATAAACCAGATGCATTTTTATTGTAAAATAAAAGTCTAAATTTGAGTGTCAACTTTTTTTTTTTCAGTCGGCAACATTCCTTATGATGCAACAGAAGAACAGTTGAGAGAAGTTTTTATTCAGGCAGGACCGGTTGTCAGTTTTCGGTAAGTATCTGTACTTATTTCCAGGATTTTATGAGCGCATTTAGAAGGCTCTCAAAAACGAATTTAAAAAGATGTAACCTGTAATTATTATAAACTATTTGTCTGCAAATTAAAAAAATTCTTTCCAAACCTTTGAACATTGGCAAGATGCGTTGCACATTGTCTCTTCTTTCCTTGGTGTGATTGATAAACACGGTAATGTGCTCCTTCTCTTATTTTTCAATCTTTTTCTTCTGTTAACAGTCTCCTTCAAGACTAGATGTGAAGCAGTAGATATGAGCTTTTGCCAAAAGGTGGGGGTGTTTGCATAAGGACTTTTTAAATCAACCACTACTCGTGGTAAAATATGTTTTCTTCTGAAAACTTATATATGGCAAGGAAATAAGTTGGTCAAGCTGCATGAGCAAGTAGATTGATGTGTGCATCTTATATCTCTTCATAGAAAGATAATAGTACAAAAAAATAGGGCATTTTTTACTCATCCTGAATGCACACGTAATTGTATGTTAAATACAGAATATTGTTAATCTTAAACTATCAAACAGTAGAGCATTCAAACATTGAAAATAGTTTTTATACACCATCATAGCAGCGTGTGTCCATTAAAAGGGTTTTATGTTTTTATATTAATGATGTTATTGCTGAGTAAAATTTATAAGTTCGTTCATAACTCGTGTCATAATTACATCATCAGACTTTCCAAGGTCTAGAAAACCCTAATCGTTAAACATATCATCCCGGGGAATGACCGGTATTAAACATTGGTTTGACATTGATCCATCAGAAGGGTAATTTTCCGCTCCATCACATGGTTTTGCTTAAATATGACTTTGATTGAGATAATCCAGGTTTGTCATAATGATGTTATGAACAAACACTTTATGATATTTCTGCAAAATATCATGTGAGGGACTTCCCACTGTTTCACAACATCCTTTTACATGGTGGAATGAACATGGAAGAGTAGCGTGCTGATGACATAAAAGAGAAGCGAAGAAGAGGCAAAAGTATGCTTGTCATAATGGATTGTCATCATGTTATGAACGTGACATTGTGTCATAATGGTTATGAACAAAACCTTATTCCATGTAATTTACAGTTGTTTTGGGATGTATTTTTAATTTTAACCCAACTTGAGGATGTATTAGACCTTGCTTACATTCTGATATTTTGATTTTTATCATAAGTGTATGGGTATGTATTTTAATCAGTATTTTTCTTTTGTAGTAATTGTTATGAATGAACTACATATTGTACTCTGAGGGCATTCCAGAGTTGATAAACATTAAAAACATGTACACAGATACATATTATGAGGAAACTTTCATTTAATATAAAATTTTAAAGTAAATGATAGGTCAAAATATTAATCTTTAGGTGAAAACTGAAGTTTGCCATAATAGTTTCCGATGACAACCCACCATCGGTGCGATGATGGATACCGACTGACCTTCGGTTTCCGATGACAACCCGCCATCGGCGCGATGATGGATACCGACTTACCATCGGAAACCGATGACAACCCGCCATCGGCGCGATGATGGATACCGACTGACCATCGGAAACCGACGACAACCCGCCATCGGCGCGATGATGGATACCAACTGACCATCGGTTTCCGATGACAACCCGCCATCGGCGCGATGATGGATACCGACTGACCATCGGTTTCCGATGACAACCCGCCATCGGCGCGATGATGGATACCGACTTGCCATCGGTTTCCGATGACAACCCGCCATCGGCGCGATGATGGATACCGACTTGCCATCGGTTTCCGATGACAGCCCGCCATCGGCGCGATGATGGATACCGACTGACCATCGGTTTCTGATGACAGCCCGCCATCGGCGCGATGATGGATACCGACTTGCCATCGGTTTCCGATGACAACCCGCCATCGGCGCGATGATGGATACCGACTTGCCATCGGTTTCCGATGACAGCCCGCCATCGGTGCGATGATGGATACCGACTTACCATCGGTTTCCGATGGCAACCCGCCATCGGCACTATAATGGATACCGACTTACCATCGGAAACCGACGACAACCCTATGTCGGGTTCCCACATACTATCGGAATCCGATGATCACCCAACATCAGAACGGTGTCGGATAAATGTGTCTTTCCGATGGTCAACCGATAGCACCGCTGTCACACCATAGCCTTTACTTTGTCCATGTTCCCATCCCTATTTTATCTTAGTCGTTTGATCCTAAAAATAATTCCCTCAATCAAAAGTTGAATCCATGTCTCTAATTCAAGATGTTCTTATAAAATCAACACCAAGGTGTTAGTACAATTTCCCCAAACCTAGACCATGAGTCCATTAACAGTAAGACATGAGACTGCAGCCGTGGGTAAACAAGCTCAGCTGTGTGGGGATTTAGTTTTGGTATAGAGGTTTTACAGCGCTCGCAACTGCATAAGGTCATATGAGCGCCAGAAGTCTGAGAAAACCCTTCACAAGGTGCAAAATTTCAAAATGAACTTTTTTGCATATTTTAAAAGACACATCTTTTCCGAGCATTTTGCACTTTATTTGAAAGCAATTGGAGCATTCTGTGAAAAGTTATGGCCACATTTTAAAGCGAACAAGGGTTCGAGTGTCAAATTTTGAGAAAACAGGTTTTAAAGTTTTGCTTACTTTAGGAACACATTTTCCATGATGACAATGCATAGAAGCAAATAATGCTGATACCACCGCATAGAGGTGCCATTTGTGGACAGTTTGCTTTTTATTTTAGTGAAATACCTCTCTTCTATGTGAAGTTATGACTGTTTTTATGTTACAACAGTAAATCATTGAATTACATAAATACGCGTCAAAAAAATATTATGCTCCTCTCGTGTCATACCAGCAAAAGACAAACGCAGGTCGTCAAAAGCAGTTGATTCGAACTGGCTGTTGCAAGGCAGGCCATCATTGAGCTTGCAGAAGCACTTCAGGCCCTTCAACTTCGCAAAGCTGTCTGCTCCACACCCTTACCTTCTGGCACCACAAAGGCTGACACTGTCACATTCTCTATGAAGGTCACCCCTAAGGCATCATCCTCGTCTGTAGATACAGAAATTAAAAGAGAGCGATTTAAAGGTGTGCAGCTTGCATAATGAAATTTATAGTGTTGTACACCACTGTATTTAAATGACCACTATTAGTTCAAACAAACCATTGATTAATGATTACCAATTGAGAATAATTTGCTCCGTGATCCCTTTACAGTTTACAGGTTGCAACAAGAAGCCAGAATTTTTGTCCATCATTCTGTCACCTCTTGTTTTCGTTTTGCATCGCTGTATTTTTATACGGACCTACTCAGTTTAAGAAATTCACTTTCATGTGATGACAAGTTTGTGACAGATCATCACTGTGATAGTGCAGCATCTCTCTTTTCTTGGTTCTTTTCAAGTCAAATAATTAAAGAGTATGTATTCAGAATAGATCTCAGGCATTATTCATTGACTGGATATCACAACTTAAAGTATTTCTTTTCGTCTTATTTTTTGTAATCACAGAGCCCGATGCTCAGGCTTTAAAATTAACTTTACTTTAAAATGATTTTGCACTAATACAACAACCCCCCCACGAATCGAAATCCTCTACCCATTTATGTTTGAACCAGGCCTTACCCTCAATTCTTTTTCTCCTCCCAGACTTGTGTATGACAGAGAGACTGGCAAGCCAAAGGGATATGGCTTTTGTGAATACCAGGATGTTGAAACGGCGCAGAGTGCTATGCGGAACTTAAACAATTACGACTTTAATGGCCGTCCTCTACGCGTCGGTGTTGCAGCTGGGGAGCAGAATAAGGATGATGGGAAGTCGATGCAGCAAGCTCTGGGAGGCCAAATTGTAGAGGTGAGCAGTTTTTTTGTTTTTTTTGGATTGAGTAAACTTCAGCTGTCTTATAAAAGTTAAATTGGCAGGTTGCTTTTAAGAATTTCTTTTGTTTGTTCAGTATAACCAGTGTGTAAAGTATAGTGTCGGCAAGGTAATAAACTGTTCTATACTCAGTAAGTAAAATTTTGCAAGAGAGAAAAAAACTGTTTCATTCTGTTAACATTTTTACTTAAACTATATACATTTTCTTGCTTTTTTTTTCAACATATGTAGAATTTGTATTTCAACAAAATATTTTTCAAGCACGTGCAACCAATACTACAGATAAAAAACAGCAATAAAAAGAATTCATATTTGGGGCTTAGTTCATCCGAACAAGACACTTCAATTTCATTGTGTCATATGTGAGGCAGCGTGGTGGAATCAGGCTCTCGTCAAAATAATCAAAATGAAGAAACTTGCATTTTTCCGCAGGTTTGTGAATTTTTATTAATTTTTTGTTTTTTGGCTCAACACCTTTCATGCCCATTAAAGAACTCATTTCTGTGTGGATGTTTCTGAAAAACGTTGATTGAAGACACAGAAAATGTAAATTTTTAGTTACCATGGACTCTTAAGCTAAGGAAATAACTAATCTTTAGCAGCCATTTTCTCACTAATTTTACCTCTGAAAACAGGTGACCCCCACCTCCTTCATTCGCAAATATCTCCACTTGTATTCAAGATAAATGGATATTGTTTTCATCCAAATAAAGACAAGTGAACAAGCTATAAGATGATACCAATACCTCTACATGCTCAAAAATTGACGAGAGCCTGATTCCACCACGCTGCCTCACATATATTGATGTCTTTGACAACTTTTTTGTTCAGAGCAGGAAGTGATAGAACAGTTACTTGTGTGGGAATTTATTTTTAGTAGTATTTTGAGCTAAAAGTGTCAGGTTATAATAATAAAGAGACAGTATATTGTAATTAAAATTTTAGAAACACTGATTTGTTAGAACTTTTTTCTCATGGTTTTGTGTAACTTCACAGTCTCCTTATGGTGAGCCAGTGGAGCCAGAAAAAGCCCCGGAGGCGATTTCAAAAGCTGTGGCTAGTCTCCCCCCAGAGCAGATGTTCGAACTGATGAAGCAGATGAAGGTAAGAGTTCAATCTTTAAAAAAAAATCCATTTCTTTAAATGAAATTGAAATGGCGAATATTGACGAATACACTCTTAACATTAATCAGTTCCTTATCCCTTTCCTGTTCATAAGTGTATGTTTTAAAGCTTACATTTGTGTCTGCTTAAACTGAACATGTTTAATCTATGAGTAAACTCGCAAAAAAACCCAACAAACCTGGCCAAACTGAAGAAAATCTGGCAATCCTGCAGATTTCAGTTTTAGCAGATTCCCAATGTATTTCTTCTTCTACCGGAGGTTTTCAATGAAAGTATTATTTAACCCCTCCATTGCTGAGACGTGTCCATTTATGTTTGTACAAACAAGGAAAAATGTTTGTTTAAGAGATTCAAACAAAGCCATATATACATACATATATCTTCCCCTTATCTAAGAATGATCTACTGCACAATCTTTAGTTACATCAAAATCTTTCTGTATATAAGCCAGTAGCAAAAAACTAGCAGTGAAAGTCTGAGAGAACTCAAGCAAGTACATGTTATGTCTCACAGGAGTGCAGCGGTTCATTGAGATAATTTATTTACTTAATAAAAAAAAGGCTTCAGTAGAGCTCTTTTTGCTTTGTTTGGGAGCTTTTGTTTAGTAGTGTGGAAATTTTTGGTCTGTTATAGGTTGACGCAGGGTGATTCACTTCATTAATTTGTTCTTTTTTCCTTCATGTTAAGAAGACAAGATTCTTTCCTTGCAGCTACTTGTAATACACCCCTTGAAGAAATTTGGAACCTTAAAATTGGAAGTCTTTTGGCAATGTGTGTGTTTCGGTATTTGCGTATTCACTTTTGTGCTTACTAGACTGTACATGTGCTTTCTAGTAAGATATTCTACTTGCGTTCCCCACCAGCTTTGCATCCAGAACAATCCAAACGAGGCCAGGAACATGCTGCTGCAGAACCCCCAGCTAGCCTACGCTCTACTCCAAGCCCAGATTGTCATGAAGATCGTGGATCCTCAAGTGGCCATGGTAAGTCCAGGGGAAACAGAACCCAGGTCGCCAGCATCTGTGGTGTAGCTCTGTCTCCTCTCTCTCTCTCTCTGTCTGTTACACACTCCCCGTCCCTTTCCTTTCCTATTCCCTCTTTGTTACTTTTTGAAGTACAAGGCTTATTATGAAATAGCTATAGAGAATGTTCTTTCTTGTAAATGGATAGGTTCGTTTTGTTTTCTGTTTTAAATCAAAATCAGAGTTCCGTTAAATGTTTAAGTTAAGATTTGACATAAATTTGTCTTGTGATCACTTGTGTAAGATAATCATTGTACAGACGGCCACTTCCCATTTTCCCCCTTGTGTTTTTTTTTTTTTTTTTACATTATAATGACACTGTCAAAGACTGCCACTTTTCTCCTCAGCAATGGGTGGGTGTCTCAGACAATTTCGAATGTATATTTTAAAAAAACCCTGCCTAATTTTTTACTTTTATTTTTTTTCCCTCTCAGTCCATGCTGTACCGTGATGAGTCCCAGCCACAGATCAACGTCCCTACTGGAAAGGTAGGTGCTAGATGTTTATGTCTGAAGAAATAAATGTAGCGGTTCGTTGTATAGTTTGATCTGGACCGATTTAGCTTAAGGAGTGGGTGCTCTGGTGTTGTTGCTCCTTCTTACCTGTCAAATATCTTTCGCTCTTTTCTCTCCTCCTTTTAAAAATTTTTTGTTACTCTCAAGTAATACCTCTTATCCTCGGCACTTATAAGACCTATAGGTGTTGTAAGTGCCGTAAAACTATTACTAAATGTAAAAAACTAATTTGAGGAAAACGTTCAAAATTTAGTAGAGTATTTTGCAATTTGTAAAAGTTACAGAAGTTGTCTTGTACTGGATGTATTGTTAAGCGAAGGTTACTTTGTATCAGAACTGTCCCTCCTCTGGGATTTTAGGAATTGATGATGGTTAGTTCAGATATGTGTCACGACGCGGTGGAATCTGGCGCTCGTCAAAATAATGAAATAGAAGAAACTGAGATTGTTTTGGCTCAACACCCTTTAGGCCCATTCAAAAACTCATTTCTGCGTGGATTTTACTGAAAATCGTTGATTTAAAAACACGAAAATGTGATTTTGCAGCTTCCAAGGACGTTCAATATTTGGAAGTCACCTAACTTTGACAGCCATTTTCTTGCTAATTTTCTCCCTGAAACCAGGGAAGTGACTTCCACCTCTCTAAATCACAAATATCGATATTTCTTTTCAAGATAGATGAGTATATTTTCATGGAAAGCAAGACAAATGAACAACGTCTAAGATGATACCAATAACTCCACTTGCCCAAAACTTGACGAGCGCCTGATACCACCATGTCATGACACATATAGTTTTGTTCTCTTAATGTTTCAATTTTGTTCAAGATATGTTCAAATGTGATTAGATCTGGTTGTTCTCTTTTCTCTCCTCAAGTGTTCAGAGTTAGGAAGTGGATTGTTGGCGGGTGCTCTGGTGAGGTTTGCTTCTTCTTTCCTATCAAACATCTATTGCCTTCGGAGTTAAGGAGTCCACTCCATGCTGAGAGAAATATACCATTCTCTTTTTCATAGGTTTCGTGATGTTTTCTCTTCCACCATACAAAAACATTCTTCTCCTTGTTTTTCTTGGTCTCTGTGGATTTTGAAGGTGCTGTTAGGTTTGGCTTAATAGTTGATCCTGTTACAACTTTGTGTGTGTTTTAATTTTGTACTTTTAATCTTTCTTCCCGCAACCCTCATGTGTTTCTCCAGCTCCCACAGCAAGGAATGGGACAAAGGCTTCCAGGAGGTAAGCAGCATTGGATTTAACTCATGTTTTTTACCAGATTTTTCTAATTATTAAGAAATAAGTTATTAATAGAAAAAAGACCTTTTTTATTTATACTTTACAATTTAGATAATTTAGGCAGAGGGCTTTGACACTGCCTGTCAGGGCCAACCTAGGCTGAAAGGGATACAATATTTGTGTGTGGCTGAAAAGTGATTAACCACATCATCGCAGACACCTCTATACTTATGTTCTAATGTAGAGTCATGTTTTGTATACTTTGTGTTGTGGGTGCCAGTGTGGGTTTATTTAAACCTGAGACATTGTAGCTTTTACTTTTATTGCTGTTTATTTCTTCTCACTGTTTTCTAAATAAAACAACTGCCAAATGAAATTCACTGTAACAGACATCTCAGAGGGGTCTGAAAAAGTACATCCTTTGAGGGGCAACATCCAAGCTTCTACTTATTGTTGTAATGTACAGATAAAGTCAGGTTCAGCAACCAAAGGTGATATCTTTCATCTGACCACCAAGCAAGAGAGAATAGGCAAAGATTATTTTTATATTTTGCATTCTGTATTCAGTCCGAGACAAAATGCTCTTTCATGATAATGAGATCGCCATCTTCGTGTACAAACTTATTTTGTCTGCATTTTAAAATGAAATTTGGAATCTTTTACGTCTCTTACCTCCATAAGGTGTTGGAATGCCGATGGGCAATATGCCTCGTCCTATACGACCTCCGCAAGTGAACGTTCCTCAGATGGCGATGCCACCACGACCGGACATGATGATGATGAGGCCAGCTGTCCCACAAGGAAAAGGTAAGCTCATCATCTGTTTTCCCCGCGTATCATGTGCTTTCTCTCTCTCTTTCTTCTGTCACTGTGACATCATAAGTGGTCAGCGATGCCGACAGCAAGCACGAATTCAATAGACCTGCATGTTTGCCGACAATCGTCTGAAATCCGACAATCGCGACCCGAACCGCGAACCGGCTGATGTTATCGCTAGGCCCGCCTGTATCAGTCAATGTGCGAAGTGCGAGGCCTGGCCGACTGCCAGCGACCCCTTTTTGTCCCGTCGAATTTGTTGGCACTTTCGTTTTCGTGCCGACGTCGGCGTTTCCGACATAATTGTCGGAACCCGAATAGAAATGCGAATAGGAAAAAGGACGACGACCTAAATTATCTACTTTCAGTTTCGTGCTCGAGCGGCCATTTTGAATTTCGTTTGTTGACAAATTCAATTGTTCAGATCGTGTGGATTCATTCAAGTCCGACTCACTTGACTTGTTCTATTAGAATCTAGATCTAGATTTATATAGATCATTATAGACCTCAATGGAGGATTCATATTCCAATTCTATTGTGTCAAACCCTATCATAGGTTGTGCTGTAATATTAATGTTGGTAAAAAGCATTTCATCAGGTGCGTGAATTATTTATAGAATCTATACTCAGCTGAGTCCCTCTGTTCGGAATCGGATACGGATTTCTAGATCAAGGCCTATTCCTATTCACTTGTTCTACAAGATCTCGATCTAGATTTGGGAGGACTTCCGTAACGAGCGACCACTTTGAGACAGAGCAGAATTGAGAGCTTGGGGTAGGGGTAGGGGTAAGGGTAGGGTTAGGGTTAGGGTTAGGTCTAGGCCTCTTCTTTATTGTGTTTGATGGGGTGGTCGCTCGTTACGGAAGCCCTTCCCCCTATTATAGCAATGTAGGTGTAGGCCATATTATGCATGCATGCTCTTTGTTTGTTTTGGAGTGGCGTTTTTTTGGGGGTTTTTTTCATTTTGGACTTGTGCTGGCCTTTTTACATGAGGCCCGTTGCAGGTTCTTTTTTGGGGTAGGGTTTTGGGTTAGGTCTCTTCTTTATTGTGTTTGTTGGGGTGGTCGCTCGTTACTCGGAAAAGTCCTTCCTATGACACCCACAAAAGCTCTTATTGGGGGGGGGGTGCGCAAAATTTTCAGACAATCTGGTTGAGGCTCACATGCAGGTCTAATTCAAGTCGCTCAGGGGTCCTTGAATAGTGCTGATGGTGGGTCATTGAAATGTCGCAGCAGACGTGTTTTGGCACGATAGTTGGCAGGACATTTTGGGAATACGTGGTCCATAGTCTCGTCGTCGTGTTGGTTGCTGTGGAGACATGCTAACCCCTTTCATGTCTCAGGGGTTCCTGAGGTTGTGCCAGACCTGCACGTTGTAAATATGACATGACGAAGCTGCAGAACTTGTTTATGAAATGTGTGTTTTTGTGGTGATATGGCAAATGAGTTGGCTGTGCAGGAAATGTGGGCGAGCCTAGTAGGTTCCCCCAGCCCAGTGTCAGTCATTACATGATATAATGTACTGTTTACTTCTTTGGTGACAGGGCAAATGAGTGGGTGGTTGACGGGCGCTCTGATGTGGTTTTCTCTTTATTTCCTAATTTCCTATCAAATATCTATCCTCCTTATCTCTCCTCCTTCTTTTCTTTGTATGTTACTCTCAAGTGTAACACTTCTACTCTTTGGCGCTGATATGACCTATGTTTCAAATGCCGTAAAACTGGTACTAAAAGACGCCTCTAACCTTGGCACTTATATGACCTATTTGTGTTGTGGGTGAAAGGAAAAGGTATTCTCACTTTCTTCCTTTTCACCTTCTTTTTTCACCGTTAAACTTTTATTTACTAAAACAGCTAAATGGCAAATGAATTGTCTTTCCAGGAGACATGGGCGAGCCCCGCAGGTTCCCCCAGCCCAACGTCCAGGGTTCCGGCCCGGCTCCCAGGATGCAGCCTCCCACGGCACCTCCGGGTCTGCCACAGCCTCAGAGACCACCCGCATCGCAGGTAAAATGGGCTCTCTTTTTTTCTATGGGTACGTTTTGGTTAGATCGGAGTCCACAGGGTAAGAGATCAAGGGTAAGGCCATGTGGAACCTGGGGAAGAGTCACAGAGAATGATGATGTACAGAAAAGTGGGAAGACCTAGAATAATGTCAAGAAGCTAGCCCATGACAGGAAAAAGTGGACAGTTTTTGTCTGGTTTGTCTGTGGCCTTTTTACCCTGATCGAGGGTGAGAAAGGCAATGATGATGATGACATTTCTGTTTGCTGATTCCCGGTGATGCGTGCGTGTGTGTTTCTGTTTGTGTGTGTAAGAGTTGGGCCAGGCACACTAAATCAGTGTTCGCTAGTAAGAAATGGTTCACTGGTAGTACTTGCAAACAAACGGACGAGTACAGAACCGCCCGCTTGTGAAGAATCGTTGGTTGCACCTAGGATGTAGAGACAGCAGTTCATATAGCGAGTGAGCGGACGGAGAGACTCCATGCATTTGAGCGAGCGACGGACGGAGCGACTCCTTGCATTGCATACTACGACTACTGCTACAACTATTACACCTCCTGCCCACTCCCGCCTTTCAACCCCCCCCCCCCCCCCGTTATAAAAAATCACCATCCTGCCCCACATTGTATCTAGGTGAAGCTCATGGTGGGAGTTTCTCTACCACTCCACACCCCCCACCCCTGTCCTTCGGAATAAATTTGAACGTACACAGTGTGACTCTCACACGAGGTGAAAGGTTACACACATAGTACTGTGTCACCAGCGTGCTTATGTGAGTGAGTTTATGCGTACACGTGTGAGTGCAAGTGTGCAAGAGAATATATATATATGACCTCTTTGCACTCTTTTTGTCCTTTGAGATCCCTTGCCTCAAGTTAATTTCAAAGTTAGTTCGAGAGACCAAGACTGTTTGACATGAATTTCAATTTGTTCTTCAGGCAGCCAGTTCCAGCCAGCCTTCAAGTTCCTCCAACCCCGCAGCAAATGGCGCAGCAAACATCTCTGCTCAAGATCAAGAAAAGGTAGGTTACTTGTCTTTCGGTTTCAGGCTTGCCAACTGTCCTGAACTGTGTGTCGAGACAGACCCAGCGGTCGGGAATTCTACAGGACATTTTAGTCTACACCAAAACCAGACCCACTTGTTTTAAATTTTGTTCTTTGCCACATAATCTGATGTCATTACATTGGGTGTCCCTGAATGGAGTTTGAAAATGTTTGCAAGTCTACCATGGAGAATAAAAGTCGAGATATTTGCTACTGAAAGAGGTGGGGGCCACCTGGTGTTAAAAGCAAAATTAGCGTGGAAATGGTCACCAAACTTTGGTGGTGATTTCCATAGTTTGAGCGTTCTTGGAAACTGCAAATTTACATTTTGTTTTCCTTTTAGTGATGTTTTTCAGTAAAATCCACATGGAAATGTTATTTCAAATAGATATAAATCAAGTTAAGGCAAAGTAACCCCCCCCTCACATAAAACAACGAAATTTGTAATTGCGCAAGGCAATGGGTGATTGAAGCGTCTGAACCTTTCTATATTTTCCTTGTTGGTGGACAAAGAGTTGTTCATGTAAATATCAAGAAGAACGATTTGCTTTCGCTTTGATATTGATGGCGGTATTATTTCAACATTTTGAAACATTTGTAGAATATTTCTAACAATATCTTTCATTTTCCTCAGGCGGCACTCATCATGCAGGTGTTACAGCTGACAGACGACCAAATCGCGTTGCTGCCTCCCGAGCAAAGACAGAGCATTCTCATATTGAAAGAACAGATCAAGAGTGGTTAGCGTGCCTGCGAGTGAGATTTTTAGGATGATAGAAAAGGGGCATGACTGCAAGGATATGTTACTTGATATGATGATTTCTTTATTCAATAATTTTTGTTGAATGTCCTACCAAAACTTAAAAAAAAAAATTAATTTTTCTTTTTTTGCAAATGTTTTATGATATGACTTTTGGGTTTGCCTATCAATATTGCCCTCTTGTTTTTCAAAACAGCCATACTGTAGTAAAATTGCTACATTTATCCTTACAACATAGACAGGGTCCTAGTGAAAAGGATCGGTGCTGCTCTGTCGAAGGAAGAAGGGGTAGGGGGAAGTGGTATTGTTCTCTCTTATGGGTACAGATGTGTATTTGTATTTTGATGTATGAATATGATGGAATACAGTTGTTGATGAAGTCAAACATGAACCTAAGAGTTTTGTTGGCTTACTGTTTTTTTGTCCCTTTTGAATGGAGTAAATTGGCTTCAGGTTGGGTTTTTTTTTTCAACCTTCTTAGTAATGACAGCCTTGTAAAGTTGGCTGTAAGTTTTGTTCTGTGGTGTAGTGATACATGTTGAGACCCCTGCATCTTGTCAGAAAATCACTCCGAACTATAGAACCACCTAAAATAAATTACTGATTTAGTGAGGTCGTGTTATTGGCAAGTATATAATACTGTGATTTGTAGGTTATGGGTACGCTGCAATCAGTGTGGGCACCTGGTAAATCGGAGCTACCTGTCCACTTTTTCAAAAAGTGTGACGAGGTCCCACCTAAGGTCCTACTGCTTAACAAAGTCCATGGCGTCACATGTATTTATCACTCACACCACTCTCTGCGCGGCTCTTAAAGAGACTATACTCTCAAGTATTCACAAACTAGTGTGCTTTACATCAATTGTGCTTATGAGAATAAGAGTGCCTAAATCCACTTTAAACTTTAAATACTTGTGAGGAAAATGTTTTGGGTTTTTTTTTTCACAGTTACTGGTACTGAAGAGTTTGTAGTGATGAGTACATTTTTACCAAAAGAGGAGATGAGATGGACCATTCTTATTCTCAAGGGTATAATTCATGGAACAAGCCACTATAAATAACTCTAAAGTTGATATTGAATTACAGTTTACATTTGTGTCGGATGAGACATCTCGACAGTGAAAGACGTTGTGGGCTTAACTATCTGTTAACCCTATCCGCCCTGGGGTGATTTTGTACCCTCGCGGTTGTATTCTTCACATTTTAGAATACTTCTAGTAGGAAGATCTCTTTGAAACTTTCAGTATTTCTCCAAAAATCATTCTGACAGACTGCTATGCAAAGCGTTCAGATCAGATTAATTATTAATGAGTAAATTTCCACTTTGGAAAGTGGTGGCTCAGAGTTCCCCACGTCATGGATATGACAGTGAAACACGGTGTACGGATAGGGTTAAGACACTGCTTAAGGTGGCGGAACCAATAAAATCAACCCCCCCCCCCCTTTCCTTGTCATGAACTGATACAAAAGATATCTAATGTAGTCCATGATGAAGATGGTAAAGACTAAAGTAAGCCTTTTAAAAAAATCAACTCTTGAGGACGTCCGAATCCGAATCGGTTTCCGCATTCTGAACAGTTCACGCCGTCGGCATAAAGGGAGAGTACCAATGGTACCCCCAAAGAGTTTGCTTATATTGTGAATGGTTGCTTCCCTTGATACAGCCCCAGAACCTTCAGGTCTCGTTACATGAACCGTTACAACCGATGAATTGTAAGAAATATTGGACGATCTTTCGTTCATACGACGAATCGTTACAGGTAACCTCGAATTTGTTTACAGATTGGGCCAATGGACGATGGGTTGGATACCAGACCGAGAAATCAAGCGCCGCCTGATGTTTTTTGTGCTATCTGGGTCTGATAAATGGAAGAGACGAGTTGGAATGCAGGATCCTTTTGAAATTACATTTCTGCGTGAGGGATTAAACATTTTAGTGCAAAATCTATATTATATTAAATATTGTTTTTGTGAAAGTCCGTCACTTTGGCCGCCTAAACTTCCGAACCACTTAACTTTCGAATTTGACAAATTTCATGGTGGTTCAAAATCATTTAAAGGGTGCACAGTTTTATTGAGGAGCCTGAAGTCACTGTAGTTTAAAATTACTTTTCAGTTTTTCAATAGTTTCATTTTGATCTAATCTCGGGAAAGTCAATCTTCTAAGACGCCGTTGTAAACAAGTGAGGTTTCCGTTCACCATCCGCCGTGCGCACTGTTTCCACACCTTGGAAATTCTGGAGTGTACAACCACGAAAGCGGAATAGAGAATCAATCTATACCTGATAATCATATATGTAATATCTAAACCTTGTAATTTTTGCATCTCTCATGATTTATTGCTCCATTCCAGTAGAGTGTAACTATAGTAGGCCAATGACTTTCTTCAGTTGACGTTAACGCACCGATCATTCCTTTTATCGAAAGGGGGCCCAGCTAGTTTTAAATCTTAAATAATTATCGCAGATAAAAACGAACTTCATTTTCGGAAAGAGCATATCATAGTGCAAAGTAGTGCGCTAGGAGTAGGAGCCTGACTCGATGCGATATTTAAACTTAAGTGAACATCTATCTAATACTAATACTAATACATGTATTATTATTTGTCAATTAGCGAAGTCAGGTACATCATGTTGTATCAAGGTCACTGTGTGTTGCGCATCTGGCGTCAAAGCTTCTGTATTATTTAAGCACTGCACTACGCTGCATAGTCCTGTCTCCGTGGTTTTATGCACCCCGCATAATTTAGCAAAATTTGTTGATCATTTTTTTGGGAATAGTTTCTGATTATTTTCCTTTATCATTCTTTGTTGAAATTAACAGAATCGCATAATTTCTCATTTTCGGGCTCAGTTTGCATAATTTCAGAATTTAAAAAAAACATAAAACCGTGGGGACAAACAGTCACTAGACAAAAAGTATGGTGATTTGGTCAAAACTTTCTTTTAATTTAGATAGATCTAGGTCCCTTGGAATGTCTGTGGAAGTACAGTCTACAGCAACAAATTAAAACAGATGGTATACGAATAACTTTTATGTCTTTTTGCAAGCAGTTTGATCTAGATGCAATCATCCGAGACTTTCTGATAGAGGTGTGCGAGTAACGAGTCCAGACTCGAGTACTCGAGTAATACATGCGGCGAGTCCAGACTCGAGTCACAAGTAAATTACTCGAGTAAGGACTCGAGTAAGGACTCGAGTCCAGACTCGAGTCTGTAGGGGGG